CATACGTTATTTTAAATGGAACGTTCATATATTCTGCATGAGGATTTAAATGATAAGTTTATTTGATACATTTTTTATAAATGATTACATTTAATATAACACAGGTATATCAAATTATTCCTGTTTATTTATATTTTCTCATATTCATTAAATTATTCTATATTTTCAGTGTCTCTCAGTGTCTGTGTTGTAAGTCTGATTTCCATCTCGTTACTTAAATGCGAATAAAACAGTCAATTTTAGATTGCTTTGAAAATATTATAGTTTTTTTTATTTAGTTATAAAAAAATGTTTTAAAAAACTGAAACAAACCAAACTGCACCATAAATGAGTCCCACGTGACCCTGTTATTAACTCAAACGTTAAATGCCCTGCAGTCCCTCTCCGTTACTGCATTGCTCCCACGTGCTTGTCTGCAAAGCGCCAAAGCTTTTGGAAAAAAGAGTCGTGATTGAACGTCTCCCGCTGAGCAGCAGCGAGCTGCGCAGCTCTTCCTTTTTATTACTGCGGACTGCAGACAACTCCAAGCATTACTCAGCAAAAAAACACACACGGCGCACATGGATGCGCACCGATGCGCCCTGAAGTGGCGCAATGACGTCAGGTATGTCACAGGGAACACCAGGTAAGACATGAGGGGGGGTAAGTTAGCGCGGTTAAATGATCATGTACAAGCACACCCAGGGCCCCCGCTCGACCCCCCGGCCCCCCGACTTGCCCCATCATCGCCTGTACCTTGCTGTCATGGACGCTGCTTTCCTCCTGGAGCGCATCCGCCTCCGCACGCAGCTCCGGACCCGAGGCTGAAGCTGAAGCATCCTCCTGGTCCTTCCCGTCCCGCGGCACCGAACTCTCCGCTCCCATGGCTGACGATGACGAAGAGGAACTTCAGGCCCAGCAACAACAAAAACAACAACAAAAACAACAACAGCCCTCCAAGATGCGGCGCGACTGCGTTAAGCTGCGAGGCGGTATCCGCCGCGTCCAACCGACAGGCTCTACAGTGCAGCTGCGCCCCGAGGGTGGCCGGGATGTGGAGTGATGTGAACAGTGAGGACCAGCTCACTCTTGCAGGAACGACCCCCCTCCTCCTCTTCTTCTTCCTCCTCCTCCTCCTCCTCCTCCCCCCGTCAGTATCACATGGGGCACCGGTGCGCCGCGGCACGCCTTGCAGCATCAAGACGCAAAGTCCAGGGTGAGAGAGAATTGATTAATAGAATAAAAGCCGAATAGTTTAAAGTTTCGTTCATCCGTGGAAATGGATCCATCCGAATTGGAGCCGTTATGAGCCTCTGACACATGAGTGGGAAATGACAGCAAAACCTACATAACTGGGGACTTTAAAACCAAGACATTGGAGCGAGAAGTTTTTGATGTAGTACTGTATGAAAGGAGAATTGTATTTTAGGAGTGAGTGGGAAATACAAGAAATGTTATAGAACCATCAATAGGAAACTTACATATGTTTACCATACTTCATTTAAATGGGATTATTGGAAAATACAGTCAGAACACTTTTTCTAATTTAATGAGTAAGTAGTAAAAAAAAAGTAGTTTTGAACGTAAAACTTTAAATAAAAAATTCAGTGCTTTTCAAATACGTTAAAACTTTGCTTCCATTTGTTTTCTCTCACTTTGACTATCTCTCCCCATCTTTCTCTCGGGGTTAACAAGTAGCATCCGCTTTAACATGCAAAGACAATGTTTTGCAAGTGTAGCATTTTGGAGGTTATGAGATCTTATCACAAAGAAATATGAAGCAGACAAACACTGCAGCCCTGGAACCAGCTGCACGCTCAAAAATGCATGTTTTGCACCTCTGAGCAGAACTCCATTCTGGCTTTGACACACACATATATACATAATACTACATGACATCTGGCCATGGTGCATTACAGGTCATTTAGCTGACGCTTTTTATCCAAAGCGACTTGTAACAGCGTTTTTCAACATGGCTTTCTTTAAAAAAAAATGTTTTTACATTGTGCATGGTGTATCTGAGTGTGTGTGCACGTGCGTTTTGCTCAGGATGCCATTTGCACGTTGAGCCACATACCATTTGTTTGGAATTTAAAAAACACATAAATTACAAACTGAGCGTTGAAAGCCAAGTTCACACAGGCCTAGAATGTGGGTTCCTGCAGCTCAAAGCTATAACGCAACAACGCACATACTTTGAAAATACAAACATGCTGATACATAGACAAGTATTAAAAGGGGAGAGCAACTTACCCTGAGACAAACTATAAAATATGTTTAACGAGGTAGAAACAAAACCATAACATTGCTCCGTTAAGTGCAGCTTTAAGTCACACACATGACGACTTAGACTCATCTTGGACCTTGAACTTCTTTTACACTTGAGAGTCGACTGTCTGGAGACTTGATGTGATAACGGCAATACTGAATTCAGAACAGAACACTTGACACTTCACTCGCCTTCTCTAGAAAACCCAAAATATTCTCAGATGTCGGTTGTGGACCAGGTGACACTGGGAGGCCGGCGCAGTCGCCCATTTTACAAAAAAGACGACATAAATGCCTTTACTTACATCCGTTCTACTTTTTAACAACTACACATAAATAAGTATCCCAAAAGTATATATATAAAAAATATATGTTTTTCCTGACTCTGGAGCTCTGCAGGCCCAGGATGGAGACAATGATTTTCTCCGTTGTAGTCTGATCCGACCCGCGCAGTGATGGAAGGGCAGAGAACAGACAGTAGAACAGGAAGTCCAACATCTGCTGGGCCTTCTTCCTGATGGGCTCGATGTTGGAGGCCCACTTCAGGTCCCGGGAGATTGTTGAGATATGTCAATGGAGTGAAAAGCTGGGTATCTTTGAATGACAAAAGTAGGTTTCTGAACTTTTTTACCTACAACATTTTATTTTAATTGATATGGTTTGTATATATAAAAGGAAATTATGGAGAGATTTATATTGTAACAACAGTGTCTAGTGTCATGGGAAGTTTCCACCAGCCGCATCATGTGGAACATGTATTCAAACATGAATAACTCTGTTCAATGTTATATTCCTTACTTAAAGTACATGTTTTATTGCAATAGTCGGTCCACTGATCTTTAGTCAGAGACTGATTATAAACTAGCATTGCCCTGGATTTTAAATGCATTTCTTCTGGTTTCATTCTGTCAGCATTATAGAAGATGTCTCCATTATGCTCCTAGTTTCATTATTAAGACTCTTATCACCAAAAAACTCTTTTGCAATCATCAAATATAAACATGGCAGGAGTACAATAGCAATCTTAAAGAAGTAGCCAAAATAAATCTTGTCCTAATTTCACACAAACAGCATTACAATATTACTTAATGAAAACCATTGACAGAACTGACTTTGTGTTCCCTTAAATCTCAAACGGAGTCACTGCAGCAGCAGAGTGGAGCACTGCGCTCAAACTGCTCGGTGCTTTAAACCAACTCTCATCTACGGATCCTCATCACCTTTGTGACACAAAATGACCTCAAAGTCATTAAATGGCATAAAAAAAGCCCAGACGTCCGTTTTTGTAAAATTATAAAATAATTTCAAGCACGTGTATTCCAAGACCGGAAACCAAGACAGATAACCGCATTAAAGTTGTGCAGTGTGTGTAGATAATGTGTTAATAAATGACCTTCAGCATGGCAGACCAATCAGCAGCAATGCTGATGTCATGTGAAAGAGGGAGTGTGTGTGTGTGTGTGTGTGTGTGTGTGTGTGTGTGTGTGTGTAGGGAGGGATGCTGGAGGAAGGAGGTTCTCATTAAAGTGAAAGCCTTACCGGATGTGCCGTGGTTTCTGCTCAATAAAAAAAGCTAAGGTACATTAAAGGCACAAGGCATGGCGCCTCTCTCTCTCTCTCTCTCTCTCGCTCTCTCACACACACACACACGCACGCACGCACGTAATCGTTTGGTAACTTTAATAAACAAATGCTGCCGGTTTTTCCCACTTGTCCTATTGAACTTGTCCCGAGGCATGTGAGGAGATGGAGAGAAGGAACACACATCCAAACCACGGGACACGCGGCTGCATAGCGAGGGCTGATGGTAAAACTGAGATGATCTCTGACCTTTTGGCACAAGCAAATGTTATTACATCAGCAAAAGCCTGCGAGTCCCGAGAGGGATGCTGCGTATACCTGCAAACACTCCCACAGGACTTCCACTTGACACCAGGCCGCGTACGCTTCTTTAAATGCGACTGCGACTGTGTTTTTATCAGACGGTGGCAGTGAAGGAAGGACGCGGCCCACAGGGTGGTTTGTCTGGCGCGGGTGCAGAGCGAAGGCCCGCGCACACACAGCGAGGGACGAACTCAAACTTTGTTACAAGCAGCAATTTAAGGGGTCTGCTGCAAAACAATATGGGTACGGATGGTAATCCATCGTTAGAATCACACCAGCCATTTTCCAGCAAACGCTTTTGAGTTACATCAACACAGACATTCAAAAGGGACCTGTCCTTGGTTCTGAAATTAGCCAGTCTATTACATAAGAGCGTTAAAAGACGAGAGCTCAAGCAACTGGAGATCAGAAGACTCAACATGCACGACTTGAACAACATTGGGACAAAACTGGGATTTTTTTTTTCCCGGCACGTTGCAACGACAAACTCCCTCCTCGTCGAAACCAGGCCCCCAAATCTGTCATCAGCTCCAAACGAGCGGTTTCGGTCTCTCTCCCACACACGCAGTAAACACGCCGCTTGAGAACTACTGTATGGATGACAGCATTCCTGCAGCCTCGGCAGCAGTTAAAAAGAGCCAGATCCCGCCTGGCGAGCACCCCGAATGACAGACTCCGCAGGTGTGGACTGACAGTTGTGACAGGTACACACATGCAGGTTTGCTCCTTGTTGCAAAAGCAAAACAGCCCATAATGACAGCGGCTGACGCCGAGCTCTGGCTTCCAAGCTGCATTTGTGTGAGAAGACAAGAAAAAGGCAAAAACAAAGAGTGCACGTGTCTGTAGTTGAATTAAGAATGAACCTTTCACACGGAGAATGGAGCTTCTTTAATAAATTGCTGTTAACACAACACATCACATCACATTTGCAAGACGCAATTGTTTTCTTTATAATAAGGGGATCTGACTGGAGTAACTTTTACAGCAGCAGCAGCAGCTGTGTGTCAGCATGTTAGAGAAATCAAGGCGCGATAAACACAGTTATGGCTTTTGGTGCATAGAGAAGCAAGTTTGTTAAAAATCAAAAGAAGCTGCGCTTCATTCAAATGAAAAGCATATGACGTGCAATAAATTTAGCGCTATTTTAAAACATTTAAATGTTATTTTTCTAAAAAATAAAAAAACAGAAATTGAAAGTTCATGAAAACACAAAAAAGTAAACTTAATGACCATTTTCATGACTTAAATTGACCCTTTCATACAAAACAAACAAACAAACACGGAGGTTCAAACGCATTAGCACATGTGATAAAGGTGACGTGGTTCATAGGTGTTCATCTTTGGCACACATTTACTTTACTTGCTCCTGTGGTTTGGAGTGTGTTTGGGCTGCTGGGAGGCAAGAAAGTATTTCCGGTCATAGATGTGGTGGATGGATCTGGGGTTCCCGGGTATAAGAACAGGATGACGCTTTTTAAGTGTGCGCAGAGCGCATCGTTTCAGACCAGAGCCGTGGCACTAAGTGAATGCGGTCGCACAAACTCGAGGGAAGAAATAAAGTCCAGTTACAGAGACGACGGCCGCAACGACATTAGTTACACAACATTTGTTTGGGATGCTTTCTTTGATTGAAGAGATCAGAAGAGCCCGGTGATCTCCTCTGTGACCGGGTCGAGGTCGATGTCGTAGAAACAGGGTCGGGTTGGCAGGCCGGGCATGGTGCTCATCTGAGGGAAACACAGCGAAAGAGGAGGTGAGAAACTTCCCTGGCGAAGCAGATGACTGCAGTCAAAATCCAGTTGTTAACCCTTTTCCCATGTTAGGAAATGTTTAATGTCCTTTTTCAGCCCTTTGTTTCAGGTTGTTGTTAAACTTGCTACAGACAAACAACCCACTGATTCCATTTCCATTGTGCATATTAGCAGCTGGTTCATATTCTCGGTCGGTCTCATAAAAATGTCAGCAACGTCAAAACCAAACCAAATAAGATTGAAACCCATAATAAGTGAAACCTCATATTAAAGCCTTTGCCACAACACAGCTGCTATGCACCAAGAGACTCCGTATCGCCCTTTTGAGTAAATGAGAATCAGATCAACCCCCACAGGTTCTATGACTATGATCAAGACTTATTTATGATTGATCAACGCGTCGACAACCTACACTTTAGCACTAATGAATTTAGCCGCACACAATTATGCCTTTGTTCTTACTGTGGCCAAAATAAAGGAAACGGTAGTTACCACACAGATACAAGGCAAACTTTATGGACTGTACACGAACCGGTGGCGTTAATGGAGCTTTCCTTCCCGAGGAATTAGCTAGAAGTAGCTAAAAGAAGCCAAGCGAACAACACAAGTTTAAATGATAGAACACACTAACAACGTAACTGCATTAAGGAAATGCTCCTAAATGAGTACAAGTGATCGACTGTGAGTGGGTTTTTTCCCCTCCGCATTAAGAGTATTTCCTCTAACTCACTTGTTTTGAGTTTCCTCAACTGACAATAATCAAGTACAACATAATAAAGACATTTACTTTTCAAAGTATTTCCGATCGAGAATAAATTGCAGTGTGCAAAAAGCAACATATTTTAAAAGGCTCGCTGCTGGAGGCCGTCCACCTGCACGTTATGGGCGAGTGGGTGCGACGGTGCATGCAACAACCCTGTGGCTGTGACCAGCTGACAACCAACGTCTATCCGGGAGATCCATGTGTTGTTTTATTGAGACAAATTCAATAAGGGCGGGGGGGAGGAGGAGGGACGGGGGGGAACAGGCAGCAGGCGATTATTCCTAATGGCCCCTTTGTGACGTGCCCAGCAGAGAGCATGTGAGCGAAGGCTCACGCCTACAGGTAACGAGGACAGATAGCGACAGCGCGGCCGCTCAAAATCACATTTCAACTGCAGCGTTTCCTGTATGGAAAAATGAAAAGATGGACTTGGTTAGTTCATCCGGGGGGGGGGGGGCAATACTTTTCCCTCTCCTGAGACTCGGCCACATCCTCCCGTCCGAGCAATAAAGGGAAATCATCTCGCTCGTTAGACAGGGAGCGACATTCTTCGCGTGCCTCCTTTCATCTGACCCGGGGCCAGTTTTATGGGCCCATTAGTGGAAATGAGACGAGAGGAAGTGAGCAGCCAATTTCCTGTCTGAGGAAAGGCTGCATTTAAACGAAGGGACAGTATGAGGGGAACGTGCTTACATAATGCGACGGAGGGGACGCCAAGTGCTGACGCTCTGCGGCCCAATGCAAACAGACCGTTACGCAACGGCGACCTGACGACCTCCATCACCACAGATGACTCCGGCTACGTGCAGATTTGAAGGAATTTAATATCAATGCATCTCCTTTTGATCTAATGGGTGCATTAGGAAGAATGATGGCAGAGGGATCACTTAATATCGACATGTCCGAACACTAATTGCTATGCGGGAGAAGCTGCTGAAAATATTTCCCATTGACGTCAGGTGACTCAAGCTAAATCTACAGCAGGATGTAACGGTGCTGTAACGAGACCACCTTATCTGCATCAGGTGGTTTGGTAGCCACAATATCGGGTTCTTTAATGAAAAGTCCAAAAATGTACAAGGACGTGTATTTAAAAAAGGTAGACGAAAGAATTTAGGGACATTTGTCAAGAACCATCGAAACAGTCAATAGTAACTGTATTTAATGTTCCAAACGAAAGCATCATGGCTTCATTATGCATCACAAAAAGCAGCTTCCTGGTCGTATTTAAGCTTCTAAACGGGACTTAAGACCACAGAATTGAGCTGTAATTACAATACAATGTGGTCAGAAGACGCATGTACAATGCATGTAAAAGCAAAGTAGGACTGCAATAAAACCTTGATATTCATTCTCCCAAAATTTTTGGTTGCCGTTTGGTTTAACGCATCAGGCTGCACATTTAAATATCAAACCGGTGCTAAAATGGGAAGAGTAACCGTCTAACGGTCACGGTCTTGGTGGCAACAAAGGAGGTTCTGTTCTGCTGGTCGCCTCTGCCGGTCTGAGAACAAGTTGGCACTCGCAAAGTGACACTACACTCCGCGGCTAAAGTTGGAAACTCCACTCGGCCAAATAAGTCCCTCTATTGTACCAAACACAATGCGTCTTTGTCAGAGGAAACCCTGGAGGAGACAATGTAGCTGGATTTCTACCCCCCACGGACTCTGGAGAGGGGCCTCGGTCAACAACGGCACAGTTGCTACACAAAAGGATCGAGGAGATTATGGAATTGTGCCATTTAAGATTAATGAACCGTTCGAGGGAGGAAATGTGCAAATTACAGTCTGTGTGAAAAAAAGCTAAAGGGATTCTCCTTAAGTGTTCGTCTCGTGAAGTTGCTTCAGTGGCTTTGCATGGAATGAATGTTTTAAATTACCCATTGACTAGAAAGGAAGGGTTACATTGGCGGGATTGAAACATTCATTATTTCCCCAGGGGAGCACTTTGAATGTCACCGGGACAAGTTGCAAACATTTACTCTGCAGGTCAGGTGAACAATAACATGTCACACATTCAACAATAACATATTTGAAGCAGGGTTTCTCTGCACAGGCACAAAGCTTCAGGCTGCAGTCCTAGAACTTAAAAACGGATTAATTCCGGATGGGACCGCGCAGCGCTTAAAGCCCATCGGAGCCCTTTTGGGTTTAATGCTGCACGGAAGGCATTTCTAACGGGATATGAACTCTAAAGAGACCTATTGTTCGGCCTGCGACCCCTCCCTCACATATCTGAAGAATGACATCAGCCGCTTCCTGATTCTTCACCCTGTAAAGACCCTTCGTCCACTCCCCCTCCTCAGGACCTACGGTATTGAGACCCGTCTTCCTCGCGGGGTCCCGGGTGCCCTGACACTAAGAAAAACGGCAAACATACTGTACAGATGTTGTAAAACAGCGATGTTTGCAATGCTTGAAAAGCATAACAGAGAGCCGTAGATGCTCGGCCCCTTTTACATGCTCGCCTGTCTTGTTCCCTGTAAACAATCTGACACAGTCTGGAAAGAGTTCCCCAATATGATGTAACATTTGAACACCATGGGGCTTTTAACCAAATATCTATTTGGTTGAGGTTTCAAGTGGTCTATGGCTAACGAGGGCCGATTCAAAGAGTTCAAAGAACAATCTGGGGGCTTCCTTTGGGTTGGGAGTCACAGTTCAAGGGTTGTCATCCTGCCGGCGGCTCCGCGGGGCCACAGCAGATCAAAGGGAAGGTCGGGAGACCGGACAGGCGCCACAACAAGACACTGCCGTGCCTTCCCAGCATGCTCGGTGTTTGACACCTCCGCTCCGGCGTTATCAAAGCCCCCCCCCCTCACCTCAGGGCACTGGTGAAACAGCAGGGGGGCAAAACGCTAAGGAAGCCACTACCTTCCTGCCCAGCCCCAGAGGCTTTAGGAAAACTCATCGAGGTCCTATTTCTCATTGCAGTTTGCTTGAATTTAGAAGTTAAAAAAGTACAGTTCAGGCTTTTAAGGAGTTAATGACTGAGACATCGAAGTGAGAAGTCAGAGTCGTGTTTGCGCTGATATTACAGTAAAGGTGAGGCCGCCATGTCGTACAGTTAAGATTTATGGTCTTGTGCCGTAAAAAGCCACTGAAAGCTGCATTGACACGTTGAAACTAGATTCCCAGTGAAACACTGACGTAGGCGCGTATGGAGGCTGTGTGCACAGGGTCATATCATAAGCTCATCTTAAACACTTCGCTATGATTTCCTGTGGAGCAACAATGCCACAATCTTTGGTTCGAAGCCAAAACACGTCCTAAGCCCTCCGGGTGAAGCCGTAACGCGTTCCAGATTTCACTTTAAACCTAAATAACAGCGTTTCTTTGGCTACTTGGGACCAGTGAAAATACTTTGTGGAATATGAAAACCTTTCAAGTTGATATGGAACTTGTTAACAAACAGCTGCTTATTAACACAGCCAGCTGTTATGGAGAAACAATATCAGTCACTTGAGAGGTGGGTTTGTTTCTATCTGGTAAATTAGGTCCAATAGTCCTGTTAGCTGTGCCTTTTTATTTTTTATCACCATCTCCTGAAGTACACGTCAGACTCTTTTGCTGCTAAATGTTCACCTGTAAAGTGACTTTTTACAGGTTAGTTGCCAACGCTATAAGAATCTAAACACATTTTGCATTCAAATCTCCGCAGTGCAGCCTGATATCAAGTGCAGCCTACAGAACTTATTCTGCCCTGAGGTTCCGGTCCTTAACGACGACGCCGTATGTGCATTACGTGGATTACAGTACATGCGTGCATCACATCTTTACATACCGTTCCCACGAGCGGGTAGATGAAACCAGCACCGACGCTAGCGCGGACCTCTCTGATAGGCAGGACAAACCCAGTGGGTACGCCCTTCTTGTCAGGCATATGGGACAGGGACAGGTGAGTCTTTGCCATGCAGATGGGCAGTGAACCATATCCCTAGTTAGAGGCAAAAGAGAAACGATGGTGCAGGTTGAGACACGAGATGAGACAGATTGAGGGAGATGATCTGTGGGTCGGTTGTTACTGCAGCAGCAGTGATTTCACCTGTTTATTGTAGTAATCGATCTTGTCCTTGGCCTCTGGAGACAGCTCAATGTCGTCAGCTCCGTATACCTTTTGTGCGATCGTTCTGATCTTCTCGGTTATCGGCATCTTTGGCGGGAAAAAAAACGTGCGTCAGAGAAAGGTGGAAAGAAACAAGCCCTCAAAAAGGGAATAAATGAAGAACTTGGAATTTGCGAATCCACAGCCGCGTGACGTCAAGATTAATAACAGCGATGAAAATCATGCGCCATGTTTGACGTTTACTGTTGGACTCGTACCAGACACCGCATTCCTTTCTTAATACTGCAAGAATCTAGGATGGGTGAGATTAGCGAACATAATTCTGTTCCTGCATACTAGAGTCAAACTCGCTGCACTGCTTCTGCTGGATCCTCCTTTTTCAGAGAGACTCTCGATTGTTCTCCTCCTCCCCTCCACCCTTCAAGTCACCGCTCTACCAAGACTCCGGGTCCCCGAGGTCGTCTGTCCCAGCACACAGGGCTCTTCTTGACCTTTGACCACACGCTGGACGTTTGTAACAAATGGGACGAATTCTCCGGCGGCATCTTGCCCTCACCTCGATGTCGTACAGGAACTGGAAGTTGCCCGGCCTGCTGGCCGCCTCGTTCACGGCTCGGGCCAGATCCAAGGAGCCCCGGCCGCCCTGCGCCCAGTGGTGACACGGCACCGCGTCCGACGCGCCGCACTCTTTGGCGATCTGACACACAAGGTCAATCTCCGCCTGGGTGTCTGTCCTGAAGGATCACCAAGGGAAAGATATTCAGCGGGACGCTCGCTGTCCGCAAACAGATGGCGTACATGACTGAAAACATGGTGAGTCATGCCGGCCCGTGATCCAGGGTACCCGGATGCGTCTTACTTAAAGACATTGAGTGCCACCACGACCGGTACCCCAAACAGGTGTGCAATCTGGATCTGCTTCCTGAGGTTGCTTCGACAACCGCCTGCGACTAGACTCAGGTTCTAGAGGAGAAACGGACAAAAGAAACAAAGCAAAAGGTCAGGAATGTATTATTTTAAAATCAACTAAAACACGCTTGCCGGCCGTGTATTAAGACCGGTAGTGTCCTACTGTGTGCAGCTATTCAGTCATCACTCTCACATTGTACACCATTATGTGCAGAAGTCCAGTTATTTCAGAGAACATTAATTGCACATTGTGTGACTCGTTGGAAGTTTGATGGCAGTAATCCAATCTTGCACTTTGTGTGTGTGTGTGTTTGTGCGTCACAGCAGTGAGGCCATACAGGTCCAATAAATTCATTTCCATGGCTCTGTTTTCCCAAGTACTTCTGGTTTTCATTACAGGCTTCACAATGAACTTTTACTGCTTCATTATTTACTCAGCCGAAGCAGCCTGAAAGACCAGTGATTTGGGCCAGATATGAAAACACACACATCAGTTTGCTCAGACGCACCTTCACAGGAAGGTTGTGTTTGTGCAGTTAATCAAATAAGCGCTCTTAACCATGTTAGCTTTTACTTTTATGTTTCCAGTATTCTTTCATTACTTTTCATGGACATAAATTTGTGCATCGGCTACATAACAAAAAGGAGTCAAGAGTCAAAGAATCAATGTCACAAGAGTCACACTATATCTTAACTCAAATTAATGACACACTGCGGCTGTCGGGTAATACGACCTGAAAAGTTGACTTGTGTTTTCACAAGACGTCAACATTTTTGATGACGGACGGGGGAAGCACTGCTGCGAGCAGCGGGTGTCACGTTTTGTCCCTGGGGGGGAAGTTAGCTACCTTGTTTGTGTTGGCTCCACCATGTTGGAAATGTTAAGCGTTTTACTACACGTCCCACATTTTGCAAGTCCCGCAACGCACTCTGTCTCGAGCCATTCCCTTTAACCACACGTCCAAGTGAAGACATTTCAATCCAAAAAAGTTAAAAGCCGCAACTCAATGTATCATCACTGATGTAGGATGTTTCTCACTCGATCCTAACTGGGCACATTGCACTGTTTTATACAGTTTTTTGGCAAAAACAAACAGCTAAATGTAATAAAAGAGGCTTAGTTCAAGATTTGGAAGATTGGAGGAGATGGAACAGCTCCCAGACCCTCCTGATCAAATACGTCATAACTTGTAAACACACATCTATTATTACTATTACAACAATCACCACGTCTCCCTTGTTTGTCCCAGTGGCTACGCTTCTTATTTTTTCTGTCTATTTGGGTGCATTTATGCGTCTGTGAATGGCTCATACCTCATCAATGTACTCTCTGGGAAGAGGGGCCCCAGCAGACACCTGGAAAACAGACAAAGACAACAAATATTCACACACTTTAATAATGAGTAACAACCAGCAGTGTATCACCTTATTTCCCATCTAGTTTGGACGATAATATTGGAACACACATAGTAAATTTGTGTGTACACATCTGCAGATGAACATGTACTTATAGAATAGCAATTCAGTCAAAAGCACGGCAGCTTCTTCATGACCATAAGCAGCACGTTACTGGGTGTGTTTGTGTGCATTATTGTGTCATATTCTAGTTTAGGTTGCTGGAAAACATTGGTGCCACTGATTGATTCTACCACATCAGAAGAAACGCGTGGGTGGGGGCCGGGCTGCAGGACTCCTTTGTGTTATTCTAAAAAGGACAGTTGTCCTAATGACAGAAAAAACTTACATTCGGTCCACCGCCGTGCATCTTCAGCGCTCGGACCGTAGCAACCAGCACCACCGCGTCGGGCCTCAGGCCTGAAGCCCGACATTTGATGTTGAAGAACTTCTCCATCCCGATGTCCGCTCCGAATCCGGCCTCCGTCACTGCGAGGGAACGGGTGCATTTTAAGAATCGTCACAGAATTATACGTCAACCTAACAGTGCATCACTCACACACACAAACAAATATCCTCCTGGAATCACGGCCTCGTCGGGATACGGTTTCCTACCACGTATCGTCTGTAGACAAAGGCTGCGGTGGATTTGGAGCGTAACGTGTTTAGTGAGAACAACTTCTGGAGATTTTCTTTCTTTGCTTCCATTTAAAGCAGCCTGATGGGAACAACGGCATTTAAACCTTGGAGAGGAATACGCGTTGCACCTCCCCGCCCCCAAAATGGTGTCTGGTTTCAGGGAAATACAGTTTGAATTTCGAATAACTAATGATAGACGTGACTGCAGTTTTAGTTTCGGCCCTTCAGTCGAGCCCGAGAGGTTTCAGAACTCTACTCGGATGACATCAACAATCAAACCCGTAAAAAGAAAGCTGCTCAGTCAGAAAAATAAATCAGCTTTTAAAAAAGGAAACAAAGTCTTTATAAGATAACAATGAGATCAGCAGAGAGAGAGAGCGAGAAAATCAGATCTCAGTTACACAAGAACTGGCAACATGGAGGAAGAAGGCTGGTTTAGTTAAACTCTGGATTCCCTGAGCTGTGCAGCACAGACGTTTCCCACAGTGAGAGGTGCACTTTGCTGAACATTAGTACAAAAACAGCTGCATTCTCATTCTGCGTGAACTTTGTGAGGGCGGCCTCGCACCCGGACACAACGAACAGCCTCGGGTGCAATTCAATTAAAAACGACGATATTGACAAACAAATTCAATTGACGTTTAAATATGATGTTGTTCACGTTTGGAGGTTTTATCTAAATGCCGCCTGTTTTATAAGCACAGTTAAGCTGCCATGAGAGAATCATTTGGATCAGTTCCCTAAGGATGGAAAATATATTACATTATTGATTCTCAACGTGGAAAAAAAATAACATTTTGGAAAAATGGATTCTTTGGTTACAGTGGTTGAGGCCTCAGCGGGAAAACAAGTCTCTCCCTCTCTACAATGTAACTAGACTATGTGTGGCCTCCACCGCTGACAGATAGCCGGCTATTTCTCGTCAACCAGCCTGCCAAGGAAAACCTTCGGGGGGGGGGATCAGGATTTGCAGATATTTGTGTGATGACCTCCCACCAGCTCGCCACAGGAGTGCTCACGCACTTATGCATCGCAGCAACGCGAGGACAAAGAATGGAAGGAAAGACGGCGAGTACACAATGACAGCGAGTAGACATCACACCCGGCAGGAGGTCACGAGGAAACGCTCGCCAGCTTCCCGTTCTGTGTGGCGGCCTTGAAAACGGCGAAAGGGCGAGAGGGGAAGACGAGGTCGATGCAGTGAGTGACAAGGGAGCCGGATGGCGTTACCGCGACGAGTCAGCGCTTCGGTATCGACCTCCAGGCCGGTTGTTGCATTTAGTTAGTTAGTTTAAAACTATTGGAAAAATGTATTTGAAAAAGGCCCAAATCCTTTTTTTGGACTATGGCCTTTTTCTCAAAAAGGGATAACTTGTTTTCAAGTGGCCCTTAATTATAGTCGACATGCCAGCGGCCAAATTGTCCGGTTAAATTAACATTTGATCTTAAAAACTATTACTAGTTGCTAAACACCAGTTTAAGGCCAACTAATCTGTAAACCTACACATCATTTCTGTACTACTTCTTCACGTGTACATTTACAGCTACATGCAATGGCGGTGCCCATGTTCCCGGTCTGGAAAAGCAGCCATGAGTGCGATAACAGGAGCAGGGAAATGTACTTCCGTGAATGGGAATAGCAGAAAAATATAGATTTTAGCTACCTGAAACACATTTTCATCTAAAACACCACCCAAAGAACAATATTAGTTTAGGTGAACAGTACATTAACAATATTTTCACTGCGGTTACGTTTCACCCTCAGTTCCCCGTTTGGGAAAATATTGTGAATAAAGCACACGTCATGAATAATGATCATCAGCTGTTCTGGCGTCCGTCCCACGAGTGTCTTTCCAAACGTTTGGTGTGTGGAACGGTCACTTCAATGCACTTATCTTTAGGGATTATGTTCTACTAAATATGTGTATTGCAAACACAAATAGGATGAAGAATTTTAAAAAGTAGATTTTCTTTTCAATGTGGCGTCAAAAGGGGTTTTCCAGTGAGGTTTACACGCTGATTATATAATCATTTCTCAGGGGCGACTTCTCTAAAAAGACCAAATGATTTGTCGCTTTAGTTTAAAACCACGTTGGGGGGGTTTGACTGCGTTCAATACAGCAGACTGCTAATGACACAGGAATCAATCACATCCAGCATGTGGGATTCATCTCACAGCAGCCTCCTCGTCGCAATAGCAGCATTTTTCAATTTTAAGTCCAGATCTCAGAGTGACCCACAATAATACAGAGCATGATGAAGGGTGTCTGGGAATTTATTTACCCCCCCCAACAAGCCTCACCGAGTTCACAGCGAGTTCATCTACTTCCTTCAGCACATGAGCAGAGTTTGTAGAGATAATCAAAAAGGGGCCATAAATTATTATTATTATACATTTTAATAAAACATTGTAAGACGCTGTGTTGTGGTTACATCAGTGTCAAAGACAAAATGAATAATAACAGTTGGTTTGGGTTTAATTTTAGTTTCATGTTTTAATTACCCTATCCATTTCTATGGTAAGAATTATTAAATCAGTATCCGATTTATTAATTCTCATTATGCTTAATTTCTTAAGAACAAATTCAATTTAAATTTCTCATTATTCTTAATTTCTTAAGAATGCCATAATTTCCTTTAGCTTATTAATTTAACCGTTTGCAACGATTTAAAAAATACAAGTGAGGTGAAGCGAGGGTTTGTCACAACGGTGCACATACAAATATTCAAGAGAAGTGGAATTGTTTATAAGACTCAATACAGAGTATTATTAACACTATTTCAATATTATATATGAGGAGACGTTTGGTTTTACACATGCATTAACCGATTCTAGGGGTGTGTGTGTGTGGGGGGGTTGAGTGCAGCAAGAATACTCAAAAAAAAAAAAAAATTCACCCACATATATATAACAATGGCATTCTTTTGGACTTCCTTCTAGAAACAGTATCTGGGTCTTAAGAACTTAATAGCTCACCGTACCACACAGCTGGAGTACCGTTTTAGCCCTTTTTGTGTTGAAAACAGCTGCCGGCCGTGTCACACGCCGACGGGAGCAGTGGGTGAACTGGGGATGATAATTCTCTTGTCGGTTTCACATTACGCACAGTTGAACGCTTATTGGGAGTGAAAATATCAACCCAAACATAGTGAACAACAAACGTACCCGTACGTTTACAAGCATAACAATCCAATGAATATTTTAAATCGGCGCTCATGGACTTGTGGTGTGGTCATGCATGTTTTCTTGTGCAGCGACGGATTACTAGAATTTCATTTCACCTCCAAATATAGTAGTACAGATAGCCAAAGCCCTTCAGACGTCATCATCCTGATTCATTTTGGCAATTACTTCATAAAAATCAGGACTCGGTCCAGACTGCATTTGCAGGTATATTTATTTACTCAATTTCGCTTGAATGATCCCTTTCATTGGAGCCAAATAAGGCAAAGTGTATAGCGTCAGATGAAGGCCTGAGAGGGAAAGGAGTGAGTTCTTGGCATACCTGAGAGTCTGGTAACAAACACACCAACAGGGAAAGGGAGTGCAGGGAGTGCGCGGAGTGGGGGGGGGGGGGGGTGTAAATTGGTGGAGTGGAGAGTTTGGGTAAAAACCGCACACGAGCCTCTCTCCGCTCCAGTGTTGTGAAACCCAACTCTCTGCTCACGCTGCACCGGCTCACAGATGACAGCTTGTGTCCCGTTCCCTTCCACCGGTTATTGCCCTCCACAGAACCCCCCCACCCACCCACATACATCAAACTCACCCGACCAACCCAACGACGCACACATGCACATTCCAAACATATTTCTGCAAAGTAAAAGAGGACAGAAAGTGGGCAGCGGGATAGATGGACGGATAAAAATGGAAATGCTCAAGTATGCTTTGACGTTGAAGGGATTAGTGTGGTTTACTCTAAAGCATTCCAGTGGCTCTGAAGATTATCAATCAGCTTCCTTCCTCTGCTGGGCTTCTTTTTTTTCCCACAGCAATCTTTCCTGCCGTTTCCTAGAGAGTTACACGGCACACTAGTCATCCAGGGGATGAGCGAAGGAGGAGAGAAGCAGAACTATGATGAAAGTAGAACCGAGGTCGTAGAAGCAAGCTGAAGTTCACCACCGGTGTAAACCGTAGTTTAATCTGCATGGCTAGGAAGCTTGGGCCTGCACATCCGGGGTTCCCAGACTCGGCTATTAACATCTCGCGGTCGGTCATCCTCTGGAGGCTTTGTGGTCGTGCGTGTGTGTGTGCGTGCGCGTGCTGGATCTGTATGCGCGGGTTGTGTTCTCACCCACAAAGCCGTCCCGTCCAACCAACTTCAAAGCCAGCTTGTCTGCCAGCACGGAGGAGTTGCCATGGGCGATGTTGGCGAAGGGCCCAGCGTGCACAAACACTGGCGTACCCTGCAACAATAAGAGGGGCACACAAACACGCAGGGGAGGGTTCAGAAAACAGTGCAACCCACCCGACCATGTTCAAATAAAGACTAACTCGATCTAAATTCAATATCTTTCGGAAAGATGAATAAATGCTGAAGTGTGGCTACGCTGTGACTGTGACTGAGGTCGTATAAGCAGCAGGCTCGAGTTGAGGTACTCAACTGACGTGGAAGCCCGAATACAGGCCAAGCCCCCCCCTCCGCCCCCCCCCCTGCAAGTCTGGAGACACACACACTAAAAGAATTTTAGAAGTATAGGTTACCAGATATCACGGTTTATCTGCACACTACTCTCTGTTGATGTAACATCTATCATATTGCCTGTACCTGGATCAGGCTTCACTCAGAGACTTCACAGAAATGTGTTCAAAATGGATGGATATTCATGCAATGTTTTCACAACATAGTGAAGTGTGTAGCTTTCTCTTCATGTGTGTCATGTGCAATTTACTATGGACCCACTTATGTTGTTCTTCCAAGGTATTGGCTGTTTGGGGCTGTTTGCACTTTAGCGTTAACAAGCAGAATAGAAATACTATGTTAGAGTGCATGACTAATAATACAAATCTCGTATCGATTTTATAAAAAACTAATGCGTTTCCTTCTCAATCGAGTGAAATTCTGCTGATAACAATTTAAAGCCACAGCGGCAGTGAACTCATCCTAAAAGGGTTTGAATGCCACATCCACTCAAAGATGGAAGCTATTTTGAGTGCATTGAGCGAGACGAGGAGAGAAAACAATCCTGCCGCAGACTTGATAAAAAAAAAATAAAGGAACAGAAATGACAAAAGAAGAAAACTGTGGAAAAGCCACCTGACCCATTGTTGAGCTGCGTGTGAATTCCTTGAGGGAAGTAAAAAGGAAGGATGGGAAGGACTGATTTTCTAAGCTTTTGTTTGCATACCTCTCCCCCTGCCCGCATAAACAGCCTCCCCTCAGAGGAGTAAATCAGCCATTTAACAAGGCAACCGCCGTCTATTTGTACATGAAAACTAGTTGAAGGGATCCCAGCAGTATCCAACTACAAGCAAACAAGGAAACGAGCGGCAGCTGGGAGGAAAAAGAGAAAGACTAAACATTAAAAAGACAAAAAAAAGAGAAATCCTTTTAGTAACCATTTCATTATTATTTTCTGTATTCAAAAGGAAAGTCCACACAAGTCCTACATTATTCCCATCTGTGTTTCTCCTCCTGAACTTTTAACATGAACCAGTTTACACTTTCCACCTACGTACAAGAGGGAAAGAGACGGGCAGTTAATTAGCCTCAACAGGTTGTTGAAAGCGGAAAGATGATAAAATTCAGGTCAGTCCCCTTTCCCACTCCTGAACGAGAGCGTTATGAAGGAAAAAAAGGGAAATGCACAAGAGAGGGAAACCGTGACGTGATCTCCGTCTTCCTGTTTTTGTTAATCTCTCGTATAGTCCACTACGCCGGCTCCAGAACCAGTGCCACACTCATAGGGGACACGAAAATGATTCATAGACAGCACACAGATTCAAAGTTGTGGTCAGTGGCCTGATTGTCTATTCCTCCTCCACTGCCTCTCGCTAGGAAAGATGCATACAGGGAGTAGGATAAAAAAATTACCCCCTTTCTTCTTGAGAAAAGCTCCAAACCCCATCTGAATCAACACAGAAACGTGTGCTCCAACACCCACACACACACAAAAACAAACTGGCTTCCACATGCCAAGTCCACTCTCCTGTGTGAATCTGTATTCAACACAAACAATCACGAGCCAAGAGGGCACGGAGGGCGCAGGCAGCCCAGCTGAACGGAAAGTTCTCATGGAGCTACGAGGGCCTGCCGGTGGCCGATACCAGTCCCCTGACCGGAGCCACAGGAAACGCTGTCACACAACACGGCCGCAATGCTTCCTCAAAAAAAAAAAAAAAAAAAAATACATATCCACACATATTTGCTGCATGCAACACTCCACCCCCTCTGTGTTTATTTTCTCCACCCAATTGCCATGTGTAACAAAACTCTCAAAAACCAACAAACTATCAAAAAAATAGGTCAGCAAAACACAAACCTTCTGCTAACATCGTTAACTTGAATGACTTATTATAAAAAAAACACTGCTAATATGTGAACGCCCATGAACCGTACTACTTAATACAGTCTAATAACAGTTAGAGGGCTCGTCTTCTTTCATGTGGGCTTTCGCCATACCAGAGAGGCCAAAGATCAATAGTAAATGCCTGGTTTGTTATTGATACATTGCATGATTTCAACCTTCCACTCCGCTGCTCTCCATTTCCCCCTTAATCACCTCGAGGGTTGGGCTTTTTCCCTCTAGAAGAGGGGAATAAATATGTGCTCATGTTCCTGAGTGACCACGTGTCCACTCATCCAACTGTAATGTCTCATAAACCCAATGAGAGCCAGATGCTGCGAGCGGCAGAGTTATGGTTCAAGTAGTCACAGGGACTTAGGACACAATGAATCTGCACGGGAGGGCTCCACCTGTCCGCTACACTCCTCCCAGCTGATCAGAAGATAACAAGCTGCGGGAGGAAAAAGTCAATTCATCATGCTTTCTTAAAAGCCCTCGGCGGAGCGCTCGCTCTCGTCTCTCTGACAGCGGATTTTGGCTGTAATGAAACCTCAACGTCCCCGGCGGACCGCCAGCCTATTCATTCCACGGGACATTCACCTGAAGATAACGACTATTTAAGTGGGGTTACATGCGTGTCTCACCTCGAGGGTCTGCATCAACGTGGGCTTAATGGCATCTTTCATTAACACCGCCAGGGCTCCACTCACGCCCTGACAGGCAGGAAGGGGGGGGGAAAAAAACAGAAAAGGGAGCGGGGATGGAAACAAGAACGAGTTAGATGGATTCAGATAAACATTTAACCTCACTGGAACCTCGTATTCATGTACAGACGGGTTAAATGGTCGTCCATTACAGTTTTTTAATGCCACCACAGTCCATTTGTAGGTGCTCGCTTTCTAAAATATGTCTTGTCTGCAATCTACACACACAGACACACACATTTAGTATACACACACTGGTACTGCATTGCCTCACCGGGGCCGGGTCTAAAAAAGGCGCGGTGATGTTTTTGCAACGGGCCTGATCAGAAGACTAATGTAACTCTATTAAGCGATCCTCCTCTTCGACTCGGTCTTCTGTGCAAATCCAGAACCAGCTGACACCTATATTAGACGTGCTGTTTTGAAGAGGGGAAGTGGTGCTTTAAGGGAATCTGGGTAAACCGGCAATGTTTAAACAGCAAGTTCAACATATTTTGTACGTGTTTTTTTGCATTAAACACAGACAAAGGCCCGACGCCACATGAAAGTCTCTCCTTTGCAATTGGGAGATGTAGTGATGAAAATCCAGCTGTGAGCTGGTCAGCGTTAAAATTCCCACACTCTCTCTGAACAAGAGGACCACACACAGTAACACACAAACACACACCAGGTCCTCTGCGGTGACGGGCTGTCCACAGCGACTGGTGCCCACCACCATGCGCGCCAGACGCCTTTTCATGTCCTCCAGGCCGTCCGCCAGAGCCAGGATGGCCATGATCTCGCTGGCCACTGCGATGTCGAACCCGGTCTGCAGAGAGAGGAACAGTAACATCACGCACAATGTGAACTACAAGGCCGACACACTGCAGTGGACGCACCCGGACTACGAGAACATTCAGATACATTTATCAACCACGAAACATGGTGTGAAATCGTGTGCGTGATTGCAGTTACGATGCAAAGCAGCTTGAGAGGGAAGTCGTAGGATTATGACCTAGTTTTGCAGGATTCTATTATCACGTAGTGTTATCAACTATTTTAGTCGGGACTTTCCGTGTTGATTTGTGTCAAACTAAAAAAAAAAAAAGGATGGAATGTGGAATTTCCTATGGGAAGAGTATGGAAAAACCAAGGCAGTGTCCCTTGCACGTCAAAAGAAACAAGAAATAGAACTTAAACCGCATCAATCCACCGAGGAACACATTTCTACTCCCAGCGATAATGCCCCGAGGGGCTATAGTGTGTCCAGCGCTGGAGGAAGGACGAGGACGGAGGAATGAGAAAGGAAACAGAATGGGGGAACTGATGGCGGTAAATGTAAACATCTGCTGAACTAGCTCAGAGGCGGTTCCAGGTGTGTGTGTCTTTGTGCGCGAGTGTGAGTGTGTGTGTGTGTGTGGGGGTCACTTTTCTTCTCCTTCAAACATTTGCTTTCACTTAAGCCCGTTTGCTTCCCATTGAGGTGAAGTGTTTATTTACAGGATTTCATTTAGCCGTCATTACTGCAGACATATGGATGAAATACACCCGGGCTTAATCATAAAGAGAGAAGATGGTAAATGGAGGAGAGTGTGTGTATTAAAAAGATTGTATATAATCAGAGTTTTATTATACAAGTACCTCTAATAAATGCAACTCATGCTCCCATAAAGGGGATAGTTGAGATGTTTAGAGGTGGGGTTGTAGGGATCCATAGTGCATTACCTTCTGTGAATGTTTTTGTTTTATTGTGAGGCTTAAGTTCGTATACGGTGCACGTTAACCGATCTCCTCCAGGCTGGGAGCGCTGACCGTTCTCCACAGTGGGCATTACGTTGACTGTGTTTACGTGCCTCATGCAGGGCCAATTCAGAACATCTCAACTATCCCTTTAAAAATGACACTCAGCAAAGCAAAGCAAAGCCTCTGCGATAGAAAAACCTGCAGTGAAATCAACATTTGTCATAAAGGGAAATGAGGAAATATTTGCAATGAATGGATCATAAATAAGGGGATAACCTTCGGTTATCTCACAGATGCACAAACAAAGCCGGTGGGTGAAAAACATTTCAAAAGGAATGATTGTGAAGGCACGAGGGCAGCATACCTCTCTTATCTGTCCTTTTTCAGTGCTCGCCTGTCCCACTGTGATCTTCCTCAAAAAACGGTCATTTGTGTCAACAACTGGAAAACAAAAGACAAAAAGAAAAAGGTTTAGTTTCCTGCTCATTTCTCCAAAAAAAATCTGCAACTTTGAGCCGGAAAACTGTCATTAAGCCAATGACGGAACACAATTTATTTAACCTGGATGCCTGAGACATACAAAAGATTTATGTTTTTACAGCCTGATCCTGCATGAATGTAAAAAATAATTGACACAAAAGATTCTTATCAGTTATAGTCGTGGATGCCACACTGAAGATGAGGGATTTGCTACCTAAAGTTTATTCCCTCAGGACTTGGCCTACCCTCCGATAATGTGGCTCTACTGTTGTTACAACGAGCCCGGGGAACCCCATTAGTCAAACATTATCCTCATGTTGGTTTGATGTATTGAAAGGGAAAGTGAAAAACATGGTTTGTTTCACGAACACATAGACACACAATCGCAGGCACATAACATTAGGTTGTAAATCTGTTTTTAATCTCCACGGTCCGTCTTTTAAAAGTGCCCTCCGGAGCCACTGGAGTAAATACCACATCAGTCATAGCAAGAGCCCAGCTGGTTGTTCTCACTGATGACTTTGAAGCAAACACGGCTACCACTGAGGCAGCGGTTCCCATTCCCTGCATGCGCACAGCTCATGACTTCAGAGCGGTCGCATTAGGCGCGTTGAATCCATATGAAGGTCCCCCCCCTTCCACACACTTGGATTAGATACCTCTCTGCCAGGTGATCTTCGAGGGGTCAAGGTCAAGACGAACAAAGGTGCTGACTTCCTGCGGTGTCAGAGACGCGGGATCTGTCTTGTTAATCCCTAGACGCTGGAATCGAAGAGACAAAGACCGTTAGAGGATCATCCGCGAGTGCGTTGTGATGCGTGTGTCAACATTATGGCTTCGGTCCCAGCTGTGCAGCTACTGCCAGATACAGTTACTTTCCTCCCCCCAAATACAAGTAGCGGGACTTTTCTTGTTGCGTCCACATTAGCTGGACGCAGGATCGCCCCCCCGGCATGTGTAAACAAAATCAGAATCAATGACTATGAGTCGATCAGCCCGCCGTCAGGTTCATGCGCTTCACTGGGAGTGATTGTTTAAATAGACACAACTCTCATCTCTCACTCGATCCATTAAGACCAATGAATATTTTATAGTCTTTTAACTTCTCCTCCAGGAGACTTTCATACAGGAGGACAGACGGACCATTGATTTATGATCAAACTCCATCTCCAATACATGAGTCACTTGTATTTTATCTAGCATGACTTGATATTAGGCATTCTTCATCAATACCGCAAAAAACAGCATTACTTGTAGACGTATAGAAGCTTCAGGCAACATAGATTTGGGAGATGAGGATACGGTGAAGAATTTTTAAGGCTCACTGAGGTCCCCTAATGGCTGAAAGGGTCTTTTTTTTAAATCACAGTTGCTAGCAATGGTTGTTGAAAGTTTTGGACTTACACGAAGCCTGGAGATTTGGATGGGTGAAAATTGTCTGACTCCATTCACTGAAGGTACGAGTCTATTGTACAGGCCCTTGAAGGAATGAGGAAAAAACAATTTAATTACTTCACATTTATACGCATATAAAGTACATTTAATTGCACATCAAGGGATTAAATAGTTTTTGTGAATAGAATGCATTACTCCAAATATAAAAAGCACTGCTGTTGGGACTGATTAATGTAATTGGGACATAAAAAGCATGCTCTTACATTCATTAGTTTATCTGCTTAGTAACACATGTTTAGGGCTTCCTTTTTTTAAACAACGAATAACATCTAATCAACATAATCAACGTTATTACTGAGGTCACCTTGTCTGACTGCGTCGCCTCGTGAAGCATTCTGGCATCGATAGCTGCTGCCACCAGGTTGTTGGATGCTGTGATGGCATGAATGTCACCAGTCAGATGGAGGTTGAACTGAACAGAAGAAGAAACCACAAAAAAACAGGAATGACGTACAGAAAAAGTGTGAAAGAGTACACATTGGAGCTCTGGGTGGCACCAGTGGAATTACAGTAAAATGACATGGAATTCAAACAGAGTAATTGACTCATGGTTTCAGCTCGATCGCGAAACGTATTCCGGCATATTTTCTCCATCTTTAAATGAAACTAAATATTGTAAATATGTGGATATTTTGCTACGAGCAATGAAGACTGGAGCTTTAAAATCGCGCTGCTTCCATCTCACCCCTCCTTCCCCTCACGGACAGCGATTTGTCAGACAATAATATGCCAAAGCTCCAGGAGTTGTGTCCGTGTGCGAACACTATTGCGAGTCCCTGCATATCTTAAGTCTTTGAAGCCTGCATTAGTCCCGCTGGGCAGCTTTGAGGGTGTCTGTGTGTGTCTTACCTCCTCCATCGGGATGACCTGGGCATATCCCCCACCTGCGGCTCCCCCTAGGCACAAACGAGAGGAAACACAGTCAGACGCAAGCCAACGGGACGGGGACGCACAAAAGGAGGAATGCCGAGCGGTGTAGTCAGAGTGGAGCGCTGCACCCCTGCACGGGGGGCAGCAGGGTCTGAAATGCCAGCCCCACACTGACAAAGATGGCCGATCAAAGTTACTCGAGACGTTCCCAAATGCTCCTCGGGAGCCTGTCTCTGGCCTCTTCCAAAAAAAGCACAGGATATATCATGAGCAACTAGCATGGTGGGGGAAGGAGGGGGGGCTTATGTAGTGATTACTGACCTTTGACCCCAAAGGTGGGTCCCTGGGAAGGCTGTCGCAGACAGGCAAAGGAGTTGAGCTTAAGGTGGGCAGTGAGGGCCTGGACAAGGCCAATGGTCACCGTGCTTTTGCCTTCGCCCAGTGGAGTGGGAGTTATACTAGACATACAGAACATACAGAGTATTTTACAATTCCACATCTCTTCATTTCGAGTCTCAATCACATCTGTAGCAAATTCATTGACACATCGTGTTAAACTTAATGCCATAAAAGGAAGCAGGGGCTGAGAGACGGCTCACCCTCGTTACCTTGCTTTGGACCAGTCAAGATTACTTTCTTTTGCATCACAAATATATGCGGAACAGATTGTTAAGAACAATGATTCAGTTAATAGGTCACACGCACCCGGCAACCAGCACATATTTCCCATCGGGCTGTTCGTGGAGGCGGTCTAACAGAGAGAGTCGGACCTTTGCTTTGCTCCTGCCGTAAGCTTCAAGCTCTTCTGGCAGCAAACCAACCTCCTCAGCCAGCTGGTCCACTGACTTGGGTGTCTGAGCTCTGGAGATCTCTATGTCACTAACAAATACAGAAAGGTGGACGCATCAGTCTCGTGCACTTTGATTTTAATAGTGCCAAATGAACAAATGAACTTAAAGAACAATGTGGCATGAGAAAACACCCTGGTAGACCCTGACAGATACTAGTCCATACCTTGGTACAGGGGTCAGGGGCTGCAGTTTGAGGCTGCGCAAATGCCAGGGTTGGTACTGCTGCTCCTGGAGCCACCGACCGCAACTATGCACCACGTTCTAGTAGACACAGAGGGGAGACAATGAGGTAGGTGGCTGAAGAAGAAAAGGGCAGTAAAAACATGGATCGATAACGGAGACAGAAAGGAGGAGACGCACCTGTGTTCTGTAAGCGGCTGTGAGGGACCCCAACCCCAACGCAGCGGCATGTTCATCTAAGAGAAAAGCAAAAAAAACAATGATATGCTGCAAATACTTTCTATCTAACAGCTCTATAATGCATAAAAAAGTCAATAAATTTGTTTTAAATGCAAACTAAACTAGTATGTCGATGGAAACTGCATTCAAATTCTTTATTCCGCTATAATCCCACCGAATCTATTCTGAAAAGTCATGCAGCAAAGGGCCACAGCTCCGATTCAAATCCGGGCTGCTGCAAAAAGGACTCTGCCAAGTAAGATACCTGGATGCCCCCTGCAGGTGATTTCTAGGACTATCACAATACATTTCACACTACCTGACTCCAGAGTCGGCGTACAGCGGATGACGGCAGCCCCTGGTTTGACCCAGGTGGAGGGGAAATCCACAATCTCAGCTCCCAATAGGACCACAGCGTCCGCCTGCATCACCTTTGAAATAAGGGAAAAAAACAGTAAGAAAAAAAAGACTATAGGTAAAGCAAAAGAACACAGATTGATAAGTTACGAAAATTCATAAGCATAGAAGACGTGTGTGTTTGAGGGCATGGAGCATAAGAAGTCTTTCTAATTATAGAGCCATTGTTTCAGCGGTACGTCTTTCCAAACACAACAGGCCGTGCTACAAACCTTTGTCAGCCGTGTTTTACGTCTCCTGGGAGGAACTGATTAACACGTACATTTATACAAAAAATATAAATGTTGAGTAAAACGTGTGGAGAGTCGCACAAAACGCACACACCTGACTCTGGAGGTTCTTGGAGCTGCAGTGACTCTTGAACGCTACCATTCCACTTCTTTCTATCAGGCACTGCAGGGCCACCCCGAAGGGCCCTTCTCCTCCGACCATCAGCACAGCTTTCCCTTCCAAAGGACCATCTGCAGGAATAGTTCGATGAAACATTGGGGCATAACCTCTCATTCGTGCAGTAAGTGTCTCATTTTTCCTGGACTGGTAAATATTGCGATAATAGTCAAGTCTATTAAAATGAGGACCATGGATGGAAATGACTTACTGCATAGTACACACCAAATGAAATTTTGTATTTTTAATTTTAGCTCATGTAATATTTATTTAATTTCTACTAACTGTTTATTCATTAGTTTGTAATTACTCACTTATACATTTCATCCCTCTAAAATGTTATCGGATTTTTCCCCAATTATAATTTTTTGTAAATAGACAATATTTGTCTGTAATTGGATTGTTTTTTTCTTGTCTGTGACGCACAAAAAAAATAATAATTTGAAAAGTTGCTATTTAATAGCTTTGTGTTATAATTACAAATAAGGTGTGCTGATTTGTGGCACTTTACACATTATATGAAGGGCATTTACATGTAACCGCAGTCAAAAAAACTTGAAACCTTTCGGAAAATAGGCCATTGGGTTAAAATAATCTGATGTCCCTGAACGCAGGTGAAGAAGGCAGAATGTGGGACATTTTGGGTTTGTATTGCTGACTGTGGCTATTCGCTTAGTTGACCAACTGGTATATATTTAGAAATGCAACACCTTGTATACTACTGGAACTGGAACACCCAGTCTTCATTTGCAAGACATTGCATGTTGACAAACTGCATTACGTTGGCAACTAATGTTAATTTTATTAGGAACTCTCAGAATAACTGTGACCCTGTGTACACCTGAACTTCGACCCCTATCTTCTGAACCTCGGGGTGGGTCTTAAATTAGTCCCAAACTCAAGTCTGGTGCTCAGCATTTTTTCTTGTGCAACATTTATGGAGCACTGCAGTTTCCCCAAATAAGTCCCAAAATGTATTCTAGAAGCAGCAAGACACACTAGCGTATGTTCTACACGCTCATTTGTAGTTTTAATGCACTTGTTAAAATTACCGTAGAATTCATTAAATGTTTGAGTGTCCAATTTTCTTAACAGCTTGAGTACGGTAGTGAATCAGGAGGATTCTCAGTTGAGAGGTGCACGTCTACTATTTGCAATCAGCATTCTGCAAAGCCCCCATTTCTCTATACGAGGAAATATTTTTACCTGAGAGTTTCAACCTGGATAAATCAGTGAGAGAAACATGGCCTTTGAAGAAGACTGATTACTAATAACTAAAGAAATTGAGACAAGTGTAAAAGTGTTTTTGATTTGTCTGCCTCTCTAGCAAAAGACCCGCCACTATTATTGGACTTAAAAGTGGGTTATATCAGAGAACTTGTGAAAATGACGACATCCAGCGAGGACTTATGTCTAAACATAGAAAATAGTACATTTCTGTTATTTAATGCAGTTATCCCATGCAAGTAACAAGTAGGATCTTGTGTATCACAATACTAGTGATAATTAGGAATTTCTTCTGTTCCAGCTGACATTAAATTCATTTGTTCACCTACAAATGCATTTTGCATGCTTGGATGTCTCTGACTCCTTTCCGAAAGAAATGCGAGCACCATTACAGCCATGACGTCTGTGTGCATACCATGTTTCTCCAGCAGAGCGAGGACGGCACTGGCTACGGGCGGCACAAAGCCTTTACTGATGTCTCCTCGCACCAGGCGGCCCATATTCAAATCGGATATCCTATGAACAAGAAAAAAGAGAAGAGAACAAAACAAATCATATTTTTATATTATATGGGCACTGCATTGAGGTGTCTTGTTAGGTGCAGTGACAGTGTTGTGGTAATTCAGAGGATTTAAACACGTGATTTACGCGTAATTTAGTCAACGGCAAAGCGCTACACTGCTGAGTAACATTTCATCACTGAAGAGGGATCTCGAAAGAACGATACAATCTAATTTTATATTGATCGCAATTATTTATTTTTAACATAATTTGCTGTCAGTCGAGCCATCGCTACTCAATCTGTGCTGATTGGCGAGGGGGCCTCGCAGATTTTCCGCATTCACACATGTGCTGAAGTCACACGCTGCCTTTAGGCGGCCGTGATTCTGAGCAGCCCCTTTCTAATTAAGACAACCATGTGAGTGAATACATTTGTCCCTGTTGGGAAGGAGAAACTGGAGCGTTAATCAACATGTCCGGTCATTTTAAGGGACTACGGATGCAATACAGTTAGAGACTTTTGCATGAGATAACTGAACACTGTTATATTCCATGCTCATGGTTAGCTAGTTGTTTGTACCCATCAACGTCCTTCTCCGGTTTGAGTGTGTTCAACACCCGACTGGTGAGTGAAGCAGGGGGGAGGTGGAGGTAGACTCCGTGCACACCGGGGTCTTCGTTGAGCTTCAACACCTCTTCTACGATCTACACAAAGACAAAACACGCACAAAAAGAGTGTTTTAATAAGTGGTAGTGTAGCAGGAGTTGTTAATGGTGCATCTGCAGGTATGAGTTCTATATTTGATATTTTGAGACATAAAAGAACAGATTAAGAACAAGTGGAACCAATAAGTTCCACTTATCAAATTGAACTCGCCAACATGTTCTATGTCGGCATTGAAAGGGCATAACATTTTTTGGCATTTTCTAAAAATGGAAAGAGGAAAGATGTGTAAAAGACGATGGTGAGTAAATACAGAGGCCTTTAGATGGAGTTGGAATTGGAAGTAAATCATCCGCCTATTTACAGGGTTTCTCCTTTCTAAAGAGTCAACTTCAACATGCGCAAAGAGAGCCACAGCTTAGAGGCCGCATCCCATCCCAAGTAATAACATTTTAAGTAAAACACTAAAATAAAATAAATTGAAATTTAAGGAGTAAGTAAGTGGATTAGGCCATTTACAAATAAATATATGATTTAGTAAAGACAGGTTTGAAGATGATAAAACTGTAAAAGAGGCACTGATTTTTCTGATATCTTCTTCTTTTATGAGCTGGGGGAAAGTAACAAATCTGTGGGTCAGCTTCACTTACTTCATCTTCACTGCACCCCTTTTCCAGACAAATCTGGGTGATGTTTAAGCCAATCTGTGGACGTACAGGGACAAACAAAAGGAGGGTTAAACTCCATGAATAATTGTGCAGATCTGTGAAAAAGCCTGAAATGAAGAAACACCAAAACAAGAACCTACCCTTCCTGCAATTTTCTTGCTGATCTCCAACAAGCGGTCGTCTTCACCTGCCTTTGAGAGAACAAAGAAAATGTGCTTAATGGAGAATGTGGACGCCTGAGGACAAAGGTATCTTTATTGGCTTTAAACAGACAATCCTTAGGTGAAAAGGGTAAATTAACACAAATGAAATGCAGCTACCGAGCACCAGTATTCCATGCTATGTTTGGCAATACAAGATCCTTCCACAAAACTGTAACGTGCACATGTGCTTACACAGACTCCCTTCTACAAGGGGAAACACAAAACCCACATTTGATTTTTTGTAATACCTGTATAATGGCTAACAAAGGCTGGACCGTTGAATTTCTTCTCTGCAGAGCCAACATGGCCTCCTTGGTGCTCCGAACCACCTCGCTACGAGAGAAAACAACCTAGTTAGCAATGACCATTCATATATTTAGGTTTTCACTTAACGTGAAACACACAGACAAATATGTGAGATTTTGGATTTTGGAAAAGGTAACACCAAAAAGGAGAGAACATTTAGAATGGTTTATCCTGAGTTTGTGGGCGAACATAGGAAGAAAGATGGCAAACTTATTACTATTATACGTTATTATTATCCCCCCCACCCCCAATGGAACCCATACAAAATATGTAATAGAGTGATTTGCAGCAGGTAAAGGCACATCACATCCAACTCGAATAGGTACCATCACAATATAAATAAATATATAATAACTTTATAAACACAAAATATCCATTGTGTGGTTTTTACCCATCGCCGAAGAGCGTTACTGCCCACGTGACGAATCGTGGGAGGAGCCAACATGTAAACGACCCCGTTTCCACACCGAGCTACTCTGCTGCAGAGTGTAAACATTGTCACCATCAAATAGGTCCGAACAAACATGTCCGACAAAACATGTCCGACACAGTTAAAATAAAAATAAGAAATATACAGCACAACCCTTCCACTCATGAACGCGTTTTATTATTATCATCATCTCTATCCTCTGTAAATCCAGACACTGTTCTAGCGCGGTGCGAATGGCAACCACGGAGAAAAGTTACATCAGCTTGCTGCAGTCAACCGCTTTCGGCTACACGTGCGGCCATGAGACCGGAAGCAGCGGCGTGCCACGCTGACTGTACGGGATCCTTTTATCGTTTGCCGGTAAAACGCGTGCGAAGACAACAGCAATTCAACAGCGTGATGTCCGGTCGCACACACACAAACAAACAACACACTTTACCTCAACGAAGTGTCGTACTCAAACCCGTCCTCCTTTCGGGGTGGGTTCCCGAAGTGGACGGCCGGTACCGGGTTGTGACCTCCGCGGGAAGCGGCGCTCGCCGCCCGGAGGATCACCCGGCTGTGGGTCGGTAACGCCGGGTGGCATCTCCGCGACAAGCCGCCGACCCCGCTTCCTCGGCGGGCTGGATGTATCCGAAGGCTCCCGCAAGCACTGCGAATTATAGACAACTTCATGGTCGTTTCTTTTAGTTTGTGTGTACTGGTGATGGTCTCAGCTTTCCTTGCTTGGTCTCGGAGGTGGTTAGCAAGAAGGACCCCGCCCCCCGGAGGGTAAAAAAATAAAGTTGAAGTGGCAACAGGGTCCTGATGGAGGTATGCCGTCTTCAGGGGAAATCGGATATCTGAGTACTCTGGAGGGATTACGTGAACAACCCCTTAAACCCTGTTTATGCTTATGTGTTTTCAGAGAGACGCAAGAGCCCCCTGTGTGTCTTTTTACACGTGCTTGCGTCCCCTGTGTGTCGACACGTGCGTCGACACATTTTCATGGCTCCTGCAGACCGCAAGGCTGCGATTGGCCTGCTAACTGCATCCTTTACGGAGTCTCGCATTTCCGTTTTCATAGCACAATACCGCCATTATTAAAAGGAAGAATGTTTACGAGATAACGGATCAGATTGAAGAACTTTTGTCAGAAGAAATGCAGAAATATGACCGCTTATACAAGCCGTCATTGGCGGACTATAAGGACGCGCGGACGGCCTCTGATTCATGGAGGGAGGTCTCCACAAACGCCGGTTTGCCGGTCGAGGTGTGAACAAAGTTGTGGAGGGAAATATGGGACGCGATGAAATGCAGCAGTGGCGATGCACGGGGCAATAAAGTCTGTGATGAATAAATAAACAAACCAACCAACGACTTCCACACACAAAGACGCGACTCTCTAGGTCGTCTTCGACAAAAAACACGTTAATCCACCTGTTGTTCTGGAGGTGAATTGCGCTGCAACACACGCAATACTTTTTGAACCGTGTACTGTAGAGAAAAGGGCACCGTCTCTCGCTCTTTAATCTCGTGAAGTGCTCGGCAAGAACGACAGCTTTGTTTCTCCGACGCGCCCTGAAAGCAGCTCCATATCTCACGCGCTTGAGCGCCGCTCAGCATCTCGCCGTCGTAGACGAGCTTTGGCATGTTTGGCAGAGCGCCTTGAGCGTCGTGTTCAACCAGTATGGATCAACCGATTAGCCAATTGATCCATATATATATAAAGTGCTCCGGATTATAAGGCGTACTGTCGTTTTTGAGAAAATAAAAGGCTTTTAAGTGCGCCTTGGAGTGCGGAAATGCGGTATATTTACTTTAATACTAACTTTAATAAGAGGGCGCCCCATTTGACATTGTTTTGTTTGGCAGCGCCTTTTGTTGAATAACGACAGGCGGACAAGAGCAGCCGCTTCGAGCAAGAGCCCTATTGTTTTATTAATCTTTTCCTTTAAATAGTTTGTGCTTCATCAATTCATGTTTCACATAACTAATGTGCCGCATCATAAATATTTTGATAGTAATTTAAAACTTTTCAAAATTGAAAATTAAAAACATTTTATTTATTTATTGTAAATGACCTCTCAAGGCCCACCTGCAGTACCTTCGCGGCCCACACTTTGGGAATCGCTGACATTGGTAGTTCCTTGTTGCCAAGAGATATTTATTTCCTCTGGTCATAAAAACTATGCTATGCATCCAGCTCGCAGACCGGTCTGTCAGTCTGAATCTGAATATCTTGCCAACTTTACCAAACTATGGAGGAGCCTGCTCATATCTTATCTCATTATTTTGATTTTCCAAAAAGTCGATGCGTATTGAAAGCCGGCAAGATATTCACAGATTCAGATTTTTTCCCGGTATTTTACAAATACAGACCGGTCTGCGAGCTGGACGCATTGCTCTTAATGTGCCAGTAATGATGGTAAATGATGGTTGTAGCTGTTTGTCATCTACGGTCCACTACGATTACCAAGGGGGCGTTTCTGTTTTGCCAACGTTTTATCTCATAATAAGGAAAATACAAATAATTCAATAAAAAATATGAATTTAACTTCTATTGTTTATATTTTGAAATATTGAAAGTGTTTGTATTTTTTACTCATATATCCTGATATATATATGACTTTTGAAGCTTAAAAAAACTGATTTCTCTTTCATGACCCCCCTACCTATGACATAGGTAGTTGCCAAGGCAACCAGCCAGTGACATCATAGAAAGTCATGTCTAACATCAAAGGAAATAGAATGTGATGTCACCGTAATCTGATCTGAACAAGGTTCCACTTGTCACTCATAACTTCACTGGACTTCGTGAGAGCTGCATGCTTTCTCGTCTCAGTCCTCTATCAGTTCATAACCTTTGATCACTGACAATACAACGTTTTTAAGTTGCATCGTGTATTTTAACCAGCATTTAAATCAAACAGGAGAAATGGCTGAAGGACATTCAACGAATCTGCCGTTTTCAAACCAAGGACCAGAAGAGTCATCTGAACAGGTCAACGCTGAATATATGAGCCTGAGGGAAATCAGCGAAGTTCTTAAGTCTATGCGAATGAAAATTCACATGAGCGGAATAAAGGTTGCAGGATGGGAATCTTTGAAGGTTAAAAATGATAAGTTTGCCGATCACAGGAAGGAGGAAGGCATTGCTAGGAGAAAATGTGAAATCCTTCAAAAGGAGGTGAGGAGTCTCCTTAATAAGGTCAAAAATCATCAACATTTTGACTCAATCTACAGAGACCAACAAGCATTAAACAAAGAAACGTTGTTGAAACATCAAACGCTACAAGTGGAGCTGAACATGCAGCAGAGAAAGCTGGACCACTTAAAACGTGTGGAGTCTGACGCTGCATCCATTACAAAGGAGAACGAAGAGTATGACCAAAAAATTAAGCTCCTGGAGACCGCACTGCAAAAGGTAACCTATGAATGTGACATTTTATCTGAGGCCAGTAAACGAGGTGCCCAACAGCTTGATGAGATGAAGTCTTTGGTGAAGAACTTGGAATCCAAAACCGCTTCGACTAACTTGGATTACAAACGTCTGCAATTCGAGAATAAGGAATTGGTTGCAGAGACACAGGAGTTAGAAAAACAGGTTTTGGCTCAGCGGGAAGAAAAACGCCAAATAAACCTGAAACTTGTAAACCAACGCCATCAAAATGAGGACGCAATGCACCGTAAGGACGCTTTGGAGAGAACAACCAATGATTTAAAACAGCAAATCCAGGACCTCAACGAAGAGCTCACGTCCAGAGAATCTTTGGCAGCGCAACTGAACGTCCAGGAGACTGTTCTGGAGACGCAGCAGCGACAGCTAATTAAGGCCCACACGGAGGCCACCAACAAGCTACTCAGTGAAAAAGAATGGAAGTCTGGCTATGACGCACAGAGGGAACTAAAAGACACCTTGGAGCTGAAGAACAATGAGTGGAAAGAGAATATCCTCAGTCTAATGAACAGTCTCAAAGATCTTGACGCCTGTAAGGCAAACTACAAATCAATGAAGACAGATATAAAAGTTGCAACCAGACTGAATAAAACTCTCGAAAAGCAACACAAGACCCTGGAAAACAAGTTCTCAAAAGAGCAGAAGTATGAGGAAAAAAACAACGCAATAAAGTCCGAGAGCGAAACCCTGATGGGTGAAAACTGCACTCTGCAGCGGCAGGTTGAGGAACTGCAGAGCAGCCTTCAGGGAACGCATGTTTTGACTTGTATCTACAACTCCCTGGTATCGGTTAAAAACGCCAACAAGCTACTGAACGACGACCTTCTGAGAGAACTTCAACAGCTCCACGAAGAGGCCGCTAAAGAAGCACCTCTGAAAGAGTGCAACGAGGCAATAAGGGCAGAGAACGAGATCGATAACAGACAATTGGATGTTCTCGAGGAGCAAGTGTCCTCCGTCGCATGTAGAACGGGTGCACCGGAAAAGGCCTTGGTGGTTTGAACCCTCGCCGGCTGGTCCCGAACAAGACACCTAATCACCCTTAGGCATCCCATTGAAGTAACAGCTATGGTTTTCTTCCGGGTTTTCCTTAAAAATGACCGTACATGGGTGTCTACTGTGCTAATGTAGCATAATTTGCCACAGCAAAAGCACTGTCTGAAATAATTACACTCCTGGCAAAAGGCGCCTAATTAGATTTGGACCGTAGCGTCCACACCCAACAAAATGTCGCGCCAAGTTTTCTTGAAAACTCGACAGCCCCGATATGAAGATTGAAAGAATATTGAACTACGAGCGTGGCGCAGCGGCAAAAAACACTATTCGCCCGAAAAAATTGAAGTTGTTTTAACTAGGCCATACATTTTGTTATCTGCTCCACATGTCACCAGAGCCAGAGTAACACTTCTGATTGGAGAGACGGATTGCAGCACTCCCGCCACGCATCCAATTCCTCATGCGGTCCCCCCCCCCCCCCCCCCCCCCACCACCACCCCACCCACGTAGCGTCCGCGGCGTCCACCCCCTTTTATTTACTTTTATGTACAACACCTAAATATAATTGAACAACAAAACACCGGTAAAACAATGGTGAAAAACTAGTAGGGCACTCCCCGTACCCCTCCCCCTTGACCGGAGCGTCCCCCACAGTCGACCGGAGCGCCCTCCCCCCAGTTGACCATAGCGTCCGCGTACCCCTCCCCCTTGACCGGAGCGTCCCCCCCAGTCGACCGGAGCGCCCTCCCCCCAGTTGACCATAGCGTCCGCGTACCCCTCCCCCTTGACCGGCGCGCACCCCCCAGTCGACCGGAACGCTCCCCGCCCCGGTCGACCGTAGCGTCCGCGTCCCCCCCTGTACCCCCTCCCCCTTGACCGGAGCGCCCCCCCCCCAGTCGACCGGAGCGTCCGCGTCCCCCCTGTACCCCCTCCCCCTTGACCGGAGCGCCCCCCCCCCCAGTCGACCGGAGCGTCCGCGTCCCCCCTGTACCCCCTCCCCCTTGACCGGAGCGCCCCCCCCCCCTAGTCGACCGGAGCGCCCCCCGCCCCAGTCGACCGGAGCGTCCGCGTCCCCCCTGTACCCCCTCCCCCTTGACCGGAGCGCCCCCCCCCCCCCTAGTCGACCGGAGCGCCCCCCGCCCCAGTCGACCGGAGCGTCCGCGTCCCCCCTGTACCCCCTCCCCCTTGACCGGAGCGCCCCCCCCAGTCGACCGCTTCCCCCCCCCGTGCCCCCTCCCCTTGACAGCCCCGATATGAAAATTGAAAGAATATTGAACTCGGTGGACCAAAAGGACCCCCGTTGACCATAGCGTCCGCGTACCCCTCCCCCTTGACCGGCGCGCACCCCCCAGTTGACCGGAGCATCCCTCCAGTCGACCGGAGCGCCCCCCGCCCCAGTCGACCGGAGCGTCCGCGTCCCCCCTGTACCCCCTCCCCCTTGACCGGAGCGCCCCCCCCAGTCGACCGCTTCCCCCCCCCGTGCCCCCTCCCCTTGACAGCCCCGATATGAAAATTGAAAGAATATTGAACTCGGTGGACCAAAAGGACCCCCGTTGACCATAGCGTCCGCGTACCCCTCCCCCTTGACCGGCGCGCACCCCCCAGTTGACCGGAGCATCCCTCCAGTCGACCGGAGCGCCCCCCGCCCCAGTCGACCGGAGCGTCCGCGTCCCCCCCGTACCCCCTTCCCCTTGACCAGAGTCCCCCCCCCCCCAGTTGACCGGAGCGTCCGCCCAGCATCCGCGTCCCCCCCGTACCCCCTCCCCTTGACAGCCCTGATATGAAAATTGAAAGAATATTGAACTCGGTGGACCAAAAGGAAGCACCAGGACCAACCACAGAAGGACCAGCAGCGCAGAGCCGGACCAGAAGCAAGACCAGCGTCGTTCTAGGAGGACCAAAAGCAAGACAACGACCAATCTAGAAAGTGTCCCAGCAAATCTCCCGGTCTCCCTTTTGAAGGACAGCGCAGTTCCCGGACCACCTCACACTAATAGAACGACAGCCCAGCAGAGGCATCAGACCCATGGGTCACATCAGAGCCATCGATTTCCAGTGCAGACCCTTCCGAGCCCCTAAGAGATCAGGTCAGGTTGAGGAACTGCAGAGCACCCTTCAGGGCACACAAGGTAATTAGGCATCCCATTGCCATAACAGCTATGGTTTTCTCCCGGTGCATCGGGTTTTCCTTAAAAACGACCATTTAACTCAGCGGTGTGGCTTAATATGTCAAGACACATCTTAAATCACTTGGCCTGTTTGTAGCACGCTCCCCCCCCACTGGACCATAGCGTCCATGTCCCCCCCTGACCAAAAGTTTTCTTGTAAACTTTACCGCCCCGATATGAACATTGAAAGAACTTTGAACTAGGTGAGCGTGCCGCAGCGGCAAAAAAAAACACTATTCAGGGTAGAGGGCAGATAATTACAGAGAGAAGAAACAGGATCAACCCCTCAAAGCTGAGGCACTTGGTCTTTCTCAATGTAAATCTTCGCTGAAGGACAAAACTCTGGATGCTGATTTTTTTCTTTTTGTTTTACACATTTTAATTTATATTTTGTTGTGTGATTCTGTAAGGTTCTGTATGTTGTTTCAGTTTAAATTTGTTAACTTTTTAATACTTAAAAGTTTAAAATAGTTAAAAGTTAGTTAAGTTAATTTGTAAATAGTTATTTGTTTTTGCACTTTCTAATTATTATTTTTTTACTCTTTTTTTTCCTCTCTGGGGAACCATCACCTTATCGCGGTGGAGAGGTTTGTGTGTCCCTATGACCCTGAGGGCTGTGTTGTTGGGAGCTTTGTGCTCCTAGTAGGGTTACCCTTGGCAAAGTGGTCTCAGGTGAGGGGCCAGACTAAGAATGGTTCAAAAATACTCATAAGTCCCCGGCTGAGTACATTGGAGTTTACCCCGGTGGACAAAAGGGTCGCCTCCCTACGCCTTCGAGTGGTGGGGGGGAAACTCTGACTGTTGTCTGTGCATATGCACCAACAGCTCAGAGTATTCAGCCTTTTTGGAGACCCTGAATGAAGTCCTGCAAGGGGCTCCAGTAGGGGACTCCATAGTCCTACTGGGAGACTTCAATGCGCACGTGGGCGACGATGGAGATAACTGGAGAGGCGTGATTGGGAGGAATGGCCTCCCTGATCTGAACCCGAGCGGGTGTTTGTTACTGGACTTCTGTGCCAGTCACGGATTGTCCATAACAAACCCCATGTTCGAACACAAGGATGTTAGTGTACGTGGTACCACAGTACCACAGTACCCTAGGCCAAAGATCAATGATCGATTTTGTAATCGTATCGTCTGATCTGAGGCCGCATGTTCTGGACACTCGGGTAAAGAGAGGGGCAGAGCTGTCAACTGATCACCATCTGGTTGTGAGCTGGGTCAGAGGACGGGGGAAGACTCGGGACAGACCCGGTAAACCCAAGCATGTAGCGCGGGTGAACTGGGAACGTCTGGAGGAGGCCCCGGTCCAAAAGACTTTCAACTCACACCTCCGGCGGAGGTTCGCTCACATTCTCTGAATTGCGGCTGAAGCCGCAGCAGTGAGTTGTGGCCTCAAGGTCTTAGGTGCATCAAGGGGCGGTAACCCTCGAACCCCGTGGTGGACACCGGTGGTCAGGGAAGCCGTCCGACTGAAGAAGGAGGCCTTCCGGGTTATGATATCCGGTGGGACTCGGATTTACATTGTAGAAGTTGCAGTGTACCGAAGGGCAGCAGCCTCTGCCGTGGTGGAGGCAAAGCAGCGAGTATAGGAGGAGTTCGGGTTAACTATGGAGAAGGACTTTCAGTCAGTACCAAAGTGCTTCTGGAAGACCATCCAGGGAACCATCCAAGCTGTGTACAGTAAGGATGGGACCCTGTTGACCGCAACTGAGGAGGTTATCGGGCAGTGGAAGGAACACCGCGACCCGACCCCGGATAAGCGGCTGAAGATGGATGAATAATTATTTTTTTTAGCACTCTGTATAAATAAAAGTGTATTTATATAATAAACATTTGATATAGTGTTTTTTTTACATTAGTAATTCATATTGTGCATAATTTTACATTATTGTTGGTGATAAATTAATTTAAGGACCAAAAAATCCGAAGAGCCTTTTGGGAGCCGAAAGAGCCGGCTCTTTTTAGTGAGCCGAGCCAAAAGAGCCGGAATTCCCATCACTAGTACACCAGCCAATGGCAGGGCTAACAAAAAGACACACAACCATTCACACACACATTCACACACCTACGGGCAATATAGAGTCCCCAATTAACCTGATCCCCAGAGCATGTCTTTGGACTGTGGGAGGAAGCCAGAGTACCCGGAGAGAAGATGCAGACTCCACACAGAAAGGCCACTGGACGGAGTCAAACCCAGGACCTTCTTGCTGTGAGGCAACAGTGCTAACCACCACACCACCGTGTTGCCCCCCATCAACTTGTATATTTATTTGTGTTAACAAACTAATTCAAAGTGTATAAATGAATGAATAACAGGCAAAAAAAGACAAAACCAGGCATATTGTACTCAAGCAATAAGGTAGGAGAGGCTGTACTTTATCGTCAATAATGTTACAGTCCGAGGGTGTTGTTAGCGGAAGCCTCCAAACTACAAATACTAAGTAAAGAGCTGCCTTTCAGCAAAAATAGCCACCAAACGTTGTGCATCACATTTCCGTAGCCTAGAGACAATAATCCCGCCTGTTGCTATAGACAACAGAGAAACAGCATGAAGAGACAACTAACGGTCGTGCTGCTGGTCCCTGTCCTGCTTTTGGACTCTCTTTTCTTGGCATTATGCTGCAAATTTTGTAAATGAGATAAACGATGTTGTGCATAATAATCAAATGTAACTTAATCATGCAGCTGTTAACACACAAACATTTTTTTACTGTTTTCTGACAGAGTTAAAGCATAATCAGCATTACACTAATAATATACCACAATATACCTCACCAGACTGTCATGTAGCTCAACTTAAGACAGAAAAGGCTCTAGCAGAAGGGGCACTTTTCTCATCCGGGGGCAGTTGTTTTTTTGGCGGGAACACACTGTTGCAGTGGTGCACTCAAAAAAATTATTCGTTGGCTTTTAAAAAAATCATGGAAAGGATTTCCACAGATTAAATTGGTTTCTCTCTATGCTAAACAATTACGTTACTCTTACACTATGTTATTGTGTTGGGTTAATATAGTTTGAACAGTTGAATTGATATGAAAAATAAATCTAGTTGAAAGCGATTAAACCAAAGTTAAACTTCATTTAATTGACTTCAGATTATGGGTTGTAGAAGTGGTCATATTTACGCATTCACGCAACAAAAGCTCTTCAATCTGATCCGTTCTGTCGTAAACATTCTTTGTTTTAATAATGGCGGTATTGTGCTATGAAAGCGGAAATGTGAGACTCTGTAAAGGACGTAGTTAGCGGACCAATCGCAGCCTGGTGCGCTGCGGGAGGCTTGCGAGGCTCGTACGGTGGCCCTGAAGTGCAAAACACAACGGCAAATAGGAAAACACAATGAAATTTACTCCTTACAGAAAGGGTAGGGCCTTATAGCAGAGGACGGACCCTTCTGATAGGACAGACAGTCCGCCTGTCCTATCTTATACAGAGCTCTCAAGTGTCACGCACGGAGCGAGACAGTCACGCACTCCCCCCACACATCCAATTCCTCACCCCAAGGAATCGGACTCCGGTCTCCGAGCAGTGTCGGCCGTAGCGTCCGCGGCATCCCCCCCCTCTTTTATTTACAACACCTAAATATAACTGAACAACAAAACACCGGTAAAACAACGGTGAAATCCTAGTAAGGCACTTCTAAGACACTCGTAAAACACCGCCGTCTCTGCGTGACTTTCTGCTGCGGCTCACTTCCACCGCTCGTCACAGGCTCTCAGTCCCCCCCACGGATTTATTGATTGCCATAATATCTAGAAATCTGCATTTTCACTTTCAAAATCCGATATTGCAAAGAGTTAAGGAGTCACGGTAATGTCAATCCACCATGTCACTTTCCGTTGCCGGCGAAAGGCTTTGGATTAAGAGGGTTAAAAGACAGACAGTCCGTCTGTCCAATCAGAAGGGTCCGTCCTCTGCTTCCTGCTATAAGGCCCTACCTTTTCCGTAACAAGTTAATGTCGTTGTGTTTTCCTATTTGCTGTTGTGTTTTGTGAGATGCATGTAATGGTAAAATATTTTGTAACATTTGTCTTGTGCTAAAGTCATGTCTCAAGTGTCTGTATTTGACCCTGATGTGCAAAAGCAGAAAGATTTAAGGTTTCCATGTGCAGCTGTGTCTGAAGAAGGGAGTTAACTTGCTCTCACAGGCGCTCGAACAGTGTGTGTTACCCTCATCTTCACCTGGGTTCTTATCTCAACCTGATTTGCAGCTTCTCGTAACTGGCACTGAGCATGGCCTTCCATGTCTATAAAAACTCAGCGTTCTTACTGCTCAGATGAAATACGTGCTTGTGTATTCAACCTCTTGCTTGCAAGCAATAGAGCCAGATGTATCTGCGGAGAATTGCTCATGTAATCTTATTCTCTTCTAAATGAATGTTAACTTTTTGACTTTAATTGATCAACGTGTTGCGATCCTTCTCATCAAACCAACTCAGGGGGATCGGAGATAACCGACAGTTTTCCTATTTGTCGTTGTGTTTTCCACTTCAGGGCCACCGTAGGGCTTGCGTCGAAAGCAAGTCTTCTCACTAGAGTCATTACCACCGCAATCATCCAAGAAGACCAGGCCCACGTTGCTATAAGGTTTTATTAAATTAATGTGTCCTGTGTCAATTCATACTGTACAAAGGACATCCGTGATGAAATGTTAAATCCTGGGAGAAGATCTCTCCGACAGATTTCTTTCTCGTTTTATTCCCAAAAGGGGTTTCGAGGGAGTATTTGTTCTGTGCCAGGTACAAGTTAACAAGTGGTGTCCAGATGTACAAGTTATGATTGGAATGTGTAAGATCAAGCATATCATATTGGGGCAAACATTATGCTAAACAAATTATGTCCCTATTCGTAAGTATAGACGACACATCTGACAAAACTGAGGAATTTGATGAACCGATGGTCGTCCGCCTGATTAGTTTTTACACCAAAATTGGTGTAAAGGGATGGATTGTAGAATATTAGAAATAAACTGACAATCCGGTTCATAAATTAATAAAATGCATATAGTGTACACCAGAATACGGCCATGATTCTGAAACTGTAATCAATAAAGTAATGGCAATATTGTAAAACCACTGTAATTCTGCAACTGTAATCAAATAACATCAATGTACAGTTATGATTGTATGTAATGTAATCACCTGGAATGCATGCGTGTAATACTCAATAGCACAACAACTGGTGTTGACTCAGAGACATTCAAAATCCGAGTTACATTGAACTCACCAGAAGACCACTCCCAGAGGTGTGGACACTAACTTTCACACCTTTACGGATCGGTATAAATACCTGTAGGCAACCATTGTTCTCGAGTTCGCTGGTGGAGGCAACAGACAGGTACTGGTGGGTCAATGGGCCCTGTGGCCTGTTAGTTGCAAAGACCAGCGGCTCCTCAGCTGAGATCTTCTTTTTATCACCCTTTCTTTTATTAAATTCATTTAAATTTTAACCTTTCGATCTGCGATGCCCTTTGTCCGTCCGGCATTTCTTCATTTTGAACACAACAGCTGATAGTAAAAGAGCGACAGGACTGAAATATTTTGGAAGAAGTCCTACATGTTGTTCACCACCAGGTGCCCTGAAAACAGCAGCATTGGGGGAAAAAAAGATGCCGAGTAAAGCTTGACAGGGTGGAGGCCAAAGTAAAGAGTCATTTAACCAGTCATTAAAAGGACCTGAATGTTGTGCATTTGACTACTTATTGGCAGCTTGGAGCAACTTCAATGAATACATGTCAATGCAGCAAGTTTCTAAATTATAAACCACGCAGAGACACGTTGAATACAGTAACATTAAGCACAGCCTCTAGTCTACACCAAAGGAAGCACTGCAGGCGCTCCATGAGGGGGCCTAATTAATATGACCAAAGGAAACAAAGGATGCAAATCATGAGTCTCATTGGAATCAATAGAATGCGATTGACCAGGTGACCTCTGATAGACTGGCAACGAGTGCGTCGTAAGTTTTGACATTTGCAAAAAGCCTTTATGTGTGTCAATAGAGGACGCTATGCCATATTAAACAAACTGAGCTAATTGGCCAACAGTCCAATACAGCAGAAAGAAATCCAAGTTAGTGAAGTGTGAAAGTTTGAAATTTGAGACTCATCAAAACCACTTGTCCTGTGTTGTCCTGGGCTTCTCTTTACGCTTTGATACAATTCACCTTCATTAGGATAAAGTGGCTCAAATTGGCACTCACTTGGTTTACACACACCAGCTGCTCTCACACCTCCTCCCATCCAATTGACGCTCCTGACATGCAGCGTCACTCCAAAAGCCAAACCAGCCGGCTTTCATTCCTGGAGTCACAGCAGCACAGTTGCATGGTGTGGCGCAATCCACCACCCGAACAAAACCACAGCTGAATACCAGTTTAGCCTCCGGAGATAGCTGCTGTTGCGCATAGGGGCCTTTGTTCCTGCTCACAGTCGACTTCTTGGCTTTGGCATGGTGCTGAGGCGCCTCGGTCCCCTTACTTTAAAGGACAACGTTTGATGTCATTTCTCATCGGAGCACAACAGGTAAGAAGCTTTTCTTTTGGGCTTGTATGAAATGATTCATGCTTGTGTCACATGCGTCTTGTGGTCGCAATTTTATATAGATACATGGCATTCATTTATCTTCTAAAAAGCTTTAATCAAACTAAATGTCTCCAATGTAGAAACCCACAACATGGCTGCATTAATTCTGACATTTTAACAAGACTAACAAGACTGAGCAGGTGGATGTCCTTTTAATAATTAAAAAGCTGTGTTAACAGAATTGAGTATTGTAGTAATATTGATAAAAATGGAAAAAGACTGCAACAATATAGGGTAAGAACATTTGGTGGAGCAGGATTTTGAAAAGCCTTTTAATGTCAACAGGCCTCCTAATTTGTCATGGGAAATGTTTATTTTGCTGTATTACTCAAACTGCAGATTCTTAAGCTTGAGTTAGATACAGAAAAAATCTAGATAAAGACGTCAGACGGATCACAAGTTAAACGAACTGTCTGGTGAGGAACAACACATTTGATTATTCTTTGTCGAACCTGTTAAGCCAGTGCTGGGTGGCTGAAGGGAAAGGCCTTTAAACAGGTATGCTGGCTTGAATGAGACACTGGGTGTGTTTTTAAACTTGCAAAACGTTTTTTCTGTAAGGATCTTGGATGTCTTGTGTCCTTTTCTTTTGCCTTTTGCTTTATCAAGCCATATTCAATTCACGAGCTGTGAATCTAATATGTTTTTTTTTTCTTTTTCACGACAGCCATCCTTAATGAGTTCCCTTTACAGATGCGTGGTAGAAGAGGAACGATAGCTGGACAGAGAAGATCCTCTTGACGTCTGCGGCCTTCGCTTATCCTCCGGCCCGACCATGAGGGACCGACTCGGCAACCTTCAGGAAATGTCCAACGGCCACGTGGAGCAGATGGAGTATGCGGACTCCACTGTCTCCGACACCTTGAGCAACGTGGACCTGGAAGAGGAGCTGTCCCACGAGGCCGTGGTGTACGACAGCAGCCCTGCCCTGGACGGGGTCTTCTCCCAGACACAGGAAATCCACAGGGAGATCCAGCTCATCCGCCTGGACGTCAAAAAGCTTCGCGAGCAGAACTCTCGCATGACCAAGGCCGTCACCACCATGAGCATCATCAAAAGGGACTCCAACGCTATCGGCGCCGACATAAAAGGTCGTGCTGAGGATGTGCTGGCCCGCCTGCGGAAGATGGACGACTCGGCCCGCAAGCTGGAAGAAGAACACGGCTCAAATTCTGCCGTCACGCGCATCGCCAGAACCCAGTATGCTTCCCTCAGCAACGGCTTCCGCGATGCCATGTTTGACTATAACGAGGCCGAGATGAGCCACCGGGAGAACCTTAAAGCCCAGATCCAGCGGCAAATGGAGGTGGTGGGACGTGAGGTGACTGGGGATGAGGTGGAGGAGATGATGGAGAAAGGTCAGTGGAACACCTTCAACGACAACGTCATGGCTGAAGGGAAAACGGCGCGATCGGCGCTGTCCCAGATTGAGAAACGTCACCAAGAGCTGGTGGACCTGGAGAGCCGCATCAGCGGCATCCACGAGGTCTTCCTGGACGTCGCCCTGCTGGTGGAGGAGCAGGGCCCCATGCTGAACAGCATCCAAACCAACGTTCAGAAAACCGACGAGAACGTAAAGGAGGCCCTGGTCAAAATCGGCAGGGCCCAACGCCATAACAAGAACAACCCATTTAAAAAGATGTTTTGTAGCTGTTTCCCATGTGTCGACTGATGACTGTAGAGGGACAGAGGAATATGCAGTCTGCTGTACAGACAAAAACAAGGGGGAGTCCGAAGGATAACATCAATTTTCTGTATCATTAGAATAAAGTCAAGCTGATACCTTACCAGGAAGTAAAGAGTTTCAATGAAGGGTTAAAACGGTCTAGATTGAGAGACAAGGGAAAAGTATTTTAAAGTAATGTAATCTACTAACTCAAATCAGAATTCAGCCCCCAGGGCTCAAACAAACTGTTTGACAATATTGTTTAGGATTTAGTTTGAGCTGGACAAGCTGGCTGGTTTCAGATGCAGTAAACTAAAAAACGTATAAATCCTGTTGTTACCTAAGATTATTTCCTAATGTCTGAAGAAGTGAATCAGGTGAACTTTGTCACAATGTGAAAGAATGAACGTCCCTGATGTACGGCTCAAAGAAATTGTACAATTTAGTGTTCTTGATAAAGATTGTCCGTTTTTCTGCCATACTAACATAATTTAAGAAATTGATTTATTTAAAAGTAAACTGCTATTCATCTGCTTAAAATCCACCACTATCTTATATTTACCATCTCGTTTGTGGATGTGATTAATCCAAATCTCTTACTTTCCACGAATATTTCATAACTGCTTTCTTTCTTTTGTGGTGGCATGTGTGTATTACATAAACGGTTATATTAAAATCAATGTGAGTGTCGCTTTATTCTTCTTAAACATGAAATTTACATCAACATATGACAAAGACCTGGTTGGATTAAAGTAGTTTGATAAAGTCCTTAATTTTTAAATCAGTGACTCACACGGGGCAGCGCAAAATAAAATGTGGGTTGCAGCCGCTTAATCACAGGTGTGTTGAATCCCAATAATCCCAGACACGCTTCAGGTTCTAATTAAACCAGTGTCCTCACTTGCCAAACATGTACGGCAGCTTAAATTGCATTTGCCCAGTGTAGCCTGTCAAATAGATGCAGGGAAAGTTCACCCCAAAATCCAAAATATTTTTTCTTACTTCTACAAGAAGCAATATCTCTCTTTAGTTAAGTACTGAGCATACTAAAAGACATGGCCTTAAAGTCAAATTCCTCAAACTTTAAAAAAATGTTCTTGCGATCATTTGTCCTGGATGCATGATTTGACAGGAATGTCGTGTTACTCAATCCACCCTGAAGTGACTAGAAAAATGATAAAAAGGAAGGCGTCTTCCTTCAAGGAAGTATTGTGAGTTGCAGTGGGAAGGCACAACGCTGTCACACACACACTGAACACAGCAGACGGATGACTTCTTTCCTCATCTTAAAAATATATGTTTTCCAAGCGCATTAGACCAAATAAATGTGCCCCAAACGCTTTGAAGAGATCTACTTACTTTGATTTTGTGGAAGCCGTCACGAGAGGTAAGCTAGTTGAATTTTGTTCATTTAATTTTTCGAAAGTAATGTGTGGAGCAGGAGCACCTGGACGAGAAGTGTGTGATTTGACCTAATCAGTGAAAAAAGCTAAATGAATGACTTTCAAAAAGATCCCATTTAATGGTTTTATCATTCTGTAGGGCAGCTTTTGGAATAATGATGTTGTACTATTGTGGTATGAGGAAATGTTTTTTCTGTGTTCAGGCTTAAACTATAAAACAATCAATCTCAGATTGATGCAAGCCTGAGAATTTTCAATATTTGTCGCAGTGTTATTGACAAAATGGACATGGAGAAGAAATACTAAAACGTAAATAATGCAACAGTATTTTTTTGCCTGAGCCCCACATTCAAAAAGAAATGCAGGTTTTTTAATAAGATAACATCTTTCGTCTTCCTGGTTTGAAAAAAAGTCCTTTGCGCGTCGATTGTCATTGTTGTCACCTGAGAGAATGAGAACCTGCCACACACAAACTGACCGTCGCTGTAGTTGTAAAATACTGACATGTTCGCTATGGATTAGCGTGTAGTTTCCTTGGATAAATTAATTATGAACTATTTAACATAATTATTTTTTAGAGACACAAAAAAGTGCAAATAGCTCAAATTAATTATTTTTTTGTTTTTTTCACTGGTTTCACAGGCAAAAATGCGGGACATGCTGCAGAGGCTGCAGACCATCAGCGAGGAGCTGGAGGACTACGAGCCCGAGTTATATGGAGACGAGTACGACGTCGACAAGGGGACGCTGTCTCAACAGGCGGTGATGTTTGAGAACACCTCCCCTATTGACGACATCTTGAAGGAGGCCCACTCCATAAGCAAGGAGATCTCCCTACTCCACTTGGAGGTGGAGCGCCTGACGATAAACAACGAGCGCTTTGGCACCTCTGTGCGGCGCCTCACCCTACTCAAAAAGGATTCTGACTCCATTGCCAGGGGGATCCAGCAACGCGGGGGGGCTCTGCACATCCGCCTTCAGGCCCTGGGTCAGGAGAGCGGCCAGCTCGAGGAAAGAGAGGGTCCAAACTCTGCCGTGAGTCGCATCGCCCGAGCTCAGCATGACACGCTGTCCCATTTGTTCCGGAAGGCCATGAATGACTACAATGAGGCAGAGGAGATGCAGAGGAGCGCCTGCCGGCGGAGGATCAAGAGGCAGGCCTCTATAATAGGGACTGAAATCACAGATGAGCAGCTGGACGGGATGGTGGACAAAGGTGGCGAGGGATGGACAGAGCTGTCCCAGAGCCTGCAAGGTGCACGCTCGTCCCGCTGGGCCATGTGCGAGATCAAAGGCAGACACAAGGAGCTGGTGGAGCTGGAGGTCCGGCTGAAGGAGGTCCATGACCTGTTCCTGGACATGGCCGTGCTGGTGGAGGAGCAGAGCTCCAAAGTGAATAACATAGAGGCCAATGTGTGTGGCACACAGGAATATACTGAGAAAATCAATGTCAATGTCAAGAGGGCCCTGCAGTACAAGCGGAAGAATCCCTGTCAACAATGTTGTCCATGTCTACCCTGTTGGAATCAAAACCGACTACTTTAGGGCTTTATATAGAATGTTTACATGGACCCAGTTGAGGACAATATGTAAGAGAAACTGCTGTTGAAGGGCAGCATGCTGTACTTGAGGTGGGAGGCTTAAATTTGTTCATGGTATAGAGTTACTGTCTAAAATGTAATTTACACTTGAATAACTTATTTGGGTCAGCGTTCTATTTGTCTACCCGCACGCATTGTGTTCATGTTCGGAAATCAAAAGGGAAAACAATTGGTTTTAATCAAATCTGCTCATCATTGCGCTTCTTTTGAAACTTTTGAAAACAAATGTATTTTGCCAGATATGTAAAAAATAAACCATTTAAACCTGTTTTTAGGAGTTTCCACATGCTATTTCTTAAACACACTGTAGATATGTCATGTGCACAAAAACCACACCATTCCATATCAGTGACCTGCTACCTGCCCCTGCACAATGAGGATGGCTTTGCTCAAACGTGTGTGTTCCACGGTCAGGTCTAGAAAACCTGGAGTTTACTGCATTTAGGCAACGCTAGCGGCTTATAGTCCGGCCCAACTAAGCAAAGGTGCATAAAGGGGAACCTGTCCCCCTTTTCTTGAGTGTCTCCAGGTACGTTCCCCTGTGAAACGTGCTGTTTGGTGTGTCTGCTCCAGGCCCTCTAATGTGGCTTAACGCCATAAAAGTTTGAAGTTAACCTTCCAAAAAAGCTGATAAATCAAAGATACCACAAGCACACATAAGCCCCCCAGAGCGGAAACAGAGTTTGGGTGACGTCAACTGAAATGCACACGAGTAAAAACCGAATGAAGTTTAAGAGCTGTTGAGTTATAAGTACATGTCCTATTAAGAAGATGCATCACATTAAATCTTGCTTTAGTTGTGCAAAATAAAACCCGGTGTAACTAAAAGCGTCCACCAGTTAGTCCTATTTCATGTCGGCTCGGCTTCTTAAGCTTTATTTAGGGGATGGTGGCTTTGAGCCCGAACATGAAATTGTTGGCTTAGTTGGACCATTACGTAAAATACATTATACAATTCATCATAATGGAAACCCCAAACAGTATGGAAGTTGTAACGTTACAGGGACAGTTCACGGACAAATATCCTAAAGTTAGCCCAACTAGCTAAGGTTAGCTAGCGCTGTTGACGTGTGTTAAAAATTGCAGAGATAACGAGACAAAATGTTTTTCCTCTGTGAGGGGCATTCTGCTAACGCTGAAAACCAGCTAAACAGCTATATGCTAAGCGCCCTAACGTTAGCTCTCCGTTTGAATGCCTGTAGCTAACTTGCTAACTAGCTAACGTTAGTTGTCCACGAGCATTCTATTCACTTTGCAACCTTACATGTTAGCTGCAAGCTGCGCTAGCAACATCAGTTCCACCCAGGATGAGACATTTTCATATTCAGTCAGTCATCGTACAATGCTTGTTTGTCACAATAGTCACAGAGAGCCGACCGAATGACTGTCATAGGTTTAATTATAGTAGAGGGCATGAAATGCGGTGTATACACCAGGATGGCCGAGTGGTTAAGGCGTTGGACTTAAGATCCAATGGACATATGTCCGCGTGGGTTCGAACCCCACTCCTGGTATATGTTTTTGGATGGTGTCTCTGACTGTATATTTACATTCTCAACACGAAGTTTGTTTAAAAAGAGACGATTTTAGCCTGCAATGCCTGATAAGGCAGTACATACTTGGTACAGACGAAGACAAATGTAACTTTAGAAGAGGCATGTTAGGTCTAATTATTGATAGTTGCAGCTATGACTTAAAATAGAAAGAATGTTACCACCCATTAAAAGGGAAAACATTGAAAAGACTCCTTTGTTGTGATATTATAACTATTGATCAGCAGTGGCGATTTAACTGGCATTTTTCAAACCACTTCTCCGTTTTTCTTAGCAGTCTATTTTCATATACGCTATTGTCTTTTGAATGGCCTTTTTCTCTACTTTTTTTGTCAAGACTGGCAAGAAAGTAGTACTCATTATACAAGAACAGAATAATCTGAGCACTCAAGTGAACTTGTTTGGTCCTCCAGGTAAATGTGGCCTGTAGGAGCAGTTGCACCTCAGGGGCAGAAGAGGGCACTCTAACCCTCTCTTGCAGTCCTTGGGGTGGTGTCCAACATTGGTTTATTGAAGGCCTGCACACTCTCAACCCCTATAATTGCAAAGTTAGGGCGATGCCTTGGACTCATGGAAACCCCGTCATCTACATCTGCCACAGGAACAGCTTCACAGATAGAAATAGCTTTAACTCTTTTGAAGTTGTTTTAGAAAAGTGTGTTACACTGTTGTCACATGGATCCAAGAGGCGTGCATGGAAACCTTTAAAAACGTTCTCCACCCAACGACAATCAATAAGTCTTTCGCACTTCAGTGCTACAGAACAATCAATGTAAACACGTATTTCCTGTACAGCGGTTCTGTGACAAATGGTGGTAGTAAGACAGTTTCACTGCAGTATTATTACTTCAGATTTCCTTATTTGACTCAATGATCTATTTAAACACGTCAGTGAACCACAGGGAAACATTCCCGCCTGCCCCCACTCTCTCTATGCTCACCACTCAATAGCTGTGCTGAGGTGTTGGAGGCCTCAGAGAGCACTAATTTGTGAACTTGAGCTTTTTCTTTGAGCTGTGTGAGGAAGAGCCCACAAAAGATTCCTGACAGCTGAGACGAGGGATGGGGACGGTGGGGTGCTTAAAATGGATGATCAACATCTGTGCATCCCCAAAATGCCCCAGGGATTCTTTCTAATGGGGCCCTAATCTATTAATCAGGTAGCGGAGAAGTTGTTGCTTTTCAGGCAAACTCGTCACTCACTTCAACAAACCTGATACAAAAGGTGGTGAAAAAATGTTTATTGAAAGGGCAATATATGGTGCTACATAGATAATGGTGCTACATAAATAATGTCCATTCTTACAGAGGGAAATGTTTTGAAAACTGTATAACTAAAATAATGGAAATTAAATTAAATGTTTTTTAAGGAAACTAGAATACATGCAGGACTATACCATACACCTTTGAACAATTCATACCAGAGTATTTTTATTTCGTGCTACCTTCTACAGTTCACCACATTTTGTTGCTAGGAAAACATTCCAGTTATTTTTCCACAATTAAAGTGTGTTGTAAAGTTGTGTGTTTCCCAGTGGGAATCACTGGTTTTGATGGTACGTCACGTGACGCCCACCGCGCCATGTTTCCATCTCTGCGTTGGGAGAACTTTTACAGCCAGAGGGAAAATACTCGCGATGAGCATAAAGAGCATAAAGTGAACCTTCTATTTCCGGTTAACACATTCACAATAAATGTCGTTGACGCAATACGTAACGAGTAGCAACCTCAAATGATGACTATCGAGTATGAACTAGAAACACGTAGCACATTTAAATATGAGTTAATCTGTTACGGCCATAATGCAGACTATGTCATTCAGTTAACATCTTGTGAAGTTGCTAATTTCAATGACTTCTGAGAGGTTATCACACAGGGCACCTTTACTTTGAAAACCCCGTTCTAGCATTTCCGCTATGTTTAGCCGTCAGCTCCACGCCGCTGTAAGCAGCAGGGAGAAAAAGTCAAGTAAGCAACAAGAACAAAGTTGCGGGACCTGATTCCCACACGCAATAACCATCTTTCCCGTTTCCAACAGACAGACAGCCGTGAGTTGGGAAGACCAGCAGAGTCGTGTTCTGCTTTGCGCTGAAGAAAGGCGTCCATGAAAGCGTTATCTTTTCTTTTTTGGCACATTGTGGAGCCTGGATGCGCTGGAGAACGGATTTTTTTTCAGCTAGCGAAAGTTAAGAAGAGCGGCAGAAAATGCCGTAGATAAATCGGACTAATTAAACGTTACCAAAAAAACTTTTTTCTCTATTTTTCCCGATACATTTGACGTCACTTGCCCCCCCCCCCCCCTTGCCCCCGTCGCCCCCTCAACCCCACCTCTCCACACGCTTTTTGGACTCGTTTTTTAGGGAGTACGTCTTCTGACTCCTCGGTGACAGCGGAGGTGAGTGTTCGATTAGGATCCACGACGGGCCGTCGGACCCGTGACGTTAAACGTCAACCTTCCGCCGTCCCCGTGTCCGCGGGATGCGGCGGCGGCGGTGGTCGCGAGGTCACACGGGTCAGACCTCCGGCGCGTGAGGCAGCTGTTAAAAAAACTAAAAGTTAAACCGAACAGGTGAAAGAGTCGCTGGTCACCGACGCAGCGCTCAGTGGACGTTTCGACCTGTCTTTAAATGTGCCTGATTAAAAGTCAGCGAGCTCCTAAATACCTAAGAGATAAAACATTAACTGATCGTGGTTTACGCTTAAAAAAATCCCTGTGTGTGATTCTCTCTTTATGGCCGCAAAGTGATAATAATCTCGTCGGATTAGTACAACACGGGGGGGGGGGGTCCCTTTTAAATGCATTGATCCCTTGTGGCTTTCGGTTGTCTTAAAACCACGTCACTCACAGAGAGAGGAACCGAAATTGTAAAAGTTTTGCCTGTCCTTTCCTTCAGTTCACAGTTGTTACTTCTGGGGACTTGCAGCATGTCTGAAGCACAACAACGAAACCCTCCACATTCACTGCTTTCATTTGTATTTTTTGGGAGTGGATATAGTTGAGGTTTTTAAATGAAACGCATGTCACCCTGATAGCAGGTGCTGAGAAACGACCAGTCCGGCAACAGCTGACCTGTCCACTGGGTCCAAATCCAATTTAGGCAGTTATGCCTTAGTGTGTTTCATTTATTGGAGCCACTGAAGGTTGGGAACACGATCTCACCATCAAAGGAAAGAAACAAACATTTGATTCATTCCCTTTTAAAAAAAAGAAAAAACTCTTATCACTCGCTGTCGTTTTTGGAAACTCTCACCACCTGCGATGATTCATAGCTCAGTGTTAGCGTGACAATAAACCTCCCTCGTTACATAAAGCCACCAGATAATTCATTTAAGAACGTGGTAATTCAGCGTGAAGATGAACTGCGCATCTGAAGAACGCGTTCAACTTGTTGGGAGTTGTTCTGTGGAGGATGATTTGCGGGGACCAACCAACCAACGCGAAATAAGCAAGCAAAACCAATCTCTATGTGGTGTGACCCCAAAATGAAGTTCTGAGATTATCGGCCAGTGCTTTTGAGCTTCTCAATTATCCATCATTGATTACTCTGGAATTTGTGTTGCACTAAAGTCAATGCTCAGATTATCAGCATGCTATTTGACCATGTTTAAATGTTTTGAGTGTGAAGCTTAAAGAGCATGTGACCCCACCACTCTGGATTCCTACTTTTTTAAAGATAATTTTTCTGTTTAAAATCCCATTAAAGCAGACAGGAGCTA